TGCTCATTTCGTGTTCATGTGCTATTATACCGAAAAATAATATTCTTCGTCGTATATATTGTATTTTTCTACCTTTCGCCAGTTTTTGCCGCTTTGCTATAATTTTTTTTTCTCGTACTTTTTTTTTTTTGTTTTTGCAACCAGCGTAAAGTAAGTGAAAGAAGAAGCAGGGTAATACGCACGCGCAGGGGTGGCTAGACGAAGGGGGAGATTTTTGGAGGGCGGGGGGTTAGGTTACGGCTTCGGCAGGCACCCCTAGTTGGCTTGGCTGATTTTCATGCCTGTGTGTCATGTTATTGGGCAAATTGTACAATGTTAAAACCAGCTATACACCGTAGAATTTCCACAGCAAAAGCAACGCGAATCGGAAGGGTTTGGGGGAGTTATAGGTTTCCATAAGCGCAGGGTGAAAAATTCCTTTAAAATATAATCCCAGACACACAAGCAGGCAGTTGTTGCTCGCGAAAAACGGCGATGACAACAGGCCATCAAAAAGGGACGCGAGGGAGGGAAAACTCGAAGGAAAACACTGAAGGGGGGGGAGAATAAATATTCGCGGAAGGGAAAATGGAAAAACCATTGCCTCTAACATATTTAAAATTCAATCGATTTATGGCCAGAGAAAACTTCAAACTGAAACTGGGGATTGTTAAAAGGGAACTTTCAAACTATCAAAAAAAGAAAATGGGAACAATTGATGATTGCGGTTCGATTTTGGATTTGATTGAAGGGTTCAACTGCACTGATGGAGAAATCAAAGAGCTATTAAACTGAATTATTCAGGGGAATGAGTTTCAGTCAAGCCTTTAGACATTATTTTTGGGTAGTTTTGTAAAAGCTTTGAATTATAGGGTTTTAGTTAAAGATAATTGACAGTTTAGAGCTTACAGAAAGGGAAGGAAATAAATTTATTTTCCAGAAAATATAGGTTTTTGTGAGCTAAAATAATATTTTTGAACATTTAATTTCCATATAATTCTAGTCTTGTCTCGTTAAATATTTAATAAATTAAATAAGAGACTTAAAATAACATTTTATCTATTATATTTTCTTTAATTTAATTTTATTATATTTCCCAATAATTTTCATTTCTCCTTCTTGCACATTAATTCTTTATTTTTTCATAAAAAAAGAAAAAGGATTATATTTTTCGCATCTCTTTGTTATGAAATATTCACCCCAAAAGCCTATGATTTCCTGCTGGCTAATTTCTCCTGCAATTGATATGTTTTTAATACCCTTCGTCCTGTAAATTTCCCACACATGTTGAAGCCATCTTCTTTATTTTTGCCACTTCACTTCATTCAGCCGAATCCTCACTGTATCCTGGCAAATGCAACGAACAAAGGCAACACAGAACACAGCGCACTTTTTTTGATTTTTTCCTTACTCATTTTCATTGCAGCAAATGTCCTTTGTATTGTCGGGACATGGCGTTGATTTTGTTGCTCAGTTTCAGTTTAACATGCTGCCTGCCTCCTCCTTATTTTTCGTCTTTTTTCGCTCCCTTTCTCGCTTCCTTCATCGATTATGCCCGGCCAGAAAAAGGTAGAGAACATATATATATATATATGTAAGTATATATACTTCTGGAGGAGGATTCGTGTGAAATTTTGTATGCGGCCTTTGTGTTTGAGTGTTGCGCACACTTGAGTGCACAATGGGGAAACCTTTTCGCACGCCACACACACGCACACTCTGCAGATACTGGGACATCCTGCAGGATGAGGGTAGCCAGCGGCCCACAGAGGAAGTTGTCTTCTGCACTAAGTAACTGTTTTAGTTTCAACCGAGGACTGTGTTAATTGCAATTATGCAATGACTGCCTCTGTTCCCAGTTCCCTAACTTTCTCTATCCCTCTCTTCCTTCCCTCTGGCAGCAAACCCAGCATCCTTGCGAATTGCACATCCTGGCAATTGCATTGATGGCAGAAAGCTGTTACTCCTCCTGGTCCTGCAACTGCTCCTCCTCCCAGGCGTGGCAAAATTATTGTGACACAATTTTATGCGTTGCGCTTGGCAGGATGTGTGCTCCAAGGGGCAGGGTCGTACGGGTATGGAGTGTGGATGTTGTTACAGTGGTACCACGCGTTACATAAATCTTTGATTCGATGTCCATGCATATATAGCATAGCTGGCTCTGCCTGAGCAGATCTGTGCCTAATTAAACCCGGCAGCCACTCGATTCCTACGATATCCCGGCCAAGATTGTTTAATCAAGTCAGCAAAGCCATATTACATTTTATCTGTCTTTTTTCGCTTTCAATACATAGTTTTAAATTGAATGCGTTTAATCCAAGCAAACAAAAGCTCAATTCACAAAGTTTAACCTAAATTCCGTATTATTTTAAAGGTAGAAAGCTATTACCTATGAAATTAGAATAGAAATCCAATTTAATTTCAAGATTGTGCCATTCGCAGTGTAGTGGAGCCTGGCATCCTGTGTCATCATTGCACAAACCCCATACGAATATGAGTTTGTGTGTGTTGTGGATGGAGGAGTTATGGCACATGCCGCACACCGCACTCACACTCATATACACACACACACATCCCATATAGCTACACCACCACATGCCACATGCCTTGGCAGCGCCACGTTCCGTTCCATTCTGCCACTCTCGACGGCAACTAGTTATGCGGCGGATGTGTCTGTGGGCGTGGCAGGCGCATAGTAAAGCAGAAGGCAGGAGGAGCACCACCCACCAATCAGCCTCCTTTTGGAGAAAATAACTAGGAACTAAGTATGGAATTACTGGACTTTGAGATACTTAGTAAATATTTTGAATATTCATTTTCTAATGTTTTTTTGAAGTTTTATTATTTAATCTATTATTTAATCTGTATATATAAAATAAAAAATATTCCTTTCTTATTTCCTTAATTCAAGTTCTAGCATACCCTTAGCTCTCTCCAATTAATGGGTAGACACAGGGCAAGCCAAGAAGGAGCCAGAGAAGCAGTCGCGTGTCCTGGCTCCACTCTGCTTCCCTTCACTGATTTTCCTTCGTTGTGAGTCTGCATTTAAGTGCTACCAAAATTGCCTTTTTAAAGGATTTCCACACGCACACATGTCCTTTCTTGCCTGGGTGTCTTTTACGCTTGTCAACGTCCTCGACATCGACGTCGTCGTCGTCGTCGTTGTCGATTTTTGTGCCATTTCTTCTGCCTTTCCAATTGATGCATCTATCTTAGGGCATTTCCCTTTTCCTTTTCCACTCCCCTGCAATTTCCACCGTTGGCTCTTTTCTCGATTTCTTTTCTTCTGTGGCACTTTGCCATACTACGCATTTTCAAACTCAATTCGTGTGATAAACTAGAATAAAACTGTTCGTAATTCCATTTTTTTTATTCTTCCCTGCTCGCTATTTTTTTCTAAAGACATTTTTTGTTTTTAGCCTTTCTCCCACATGCATTTCACTTTTATTTCAGCCCTCTCGCCATGCAGATAAATTTTTCCTTTTTTTTTTTGTCAATTGCATTTTCTATGTCAAAGGCGCTTAATTTAGTTTTTTTCTTGCATTTGTTTTTGTTGCAGCAACTTTTAGTTTTAGTTTCCAGTTATCTTGTGTGTGTTTTTGGCATGTAATTTGCACTTGGTTCTCATTCGGAAATTGCTTTTCTTCCCAGGGGTTGATTTATTTTTCATCATTTCACTTTGGGCACATGAAATGTTAAATTGCAATTCGGTTTCGTGTCTGGTCAATAATTAAACCTCGCAGCAATTAAATAATAATAACCAAAATTGGGGAGGCATTGCCATAATGCAAATGATAAGTTCTTTTTAACACGATTTACTTTTTCACAATATTCTGTTAATGCGCTCCGTTTGCAGGCGAAATTTCGCACATCCTGACGAATGGTGGAAAGCCCCCAACCCGACCTTTTCCCTCATGTGGCGCCGCAGTAATTAAAGCGCATTATACAGGCCGGCCCACAGAAATATAAAACATAACAAAAAAAAATTAAAGAAAATTACTGCTGCAGCACATTAACACTAACAGCAGCGATAAATGCGGATTATAATTTGGTAAAACACAGGCTCTCGGACCCCAAAAACCAAAAAACCATTAACAACACGGTTCTCCAACCTTAAAGAAAGCCCCAAAGAAGTTGGAATTGTTCTGGAGAAAATGGGAAATGCTGCTTCTGCTGCTGAAGTTCAGTTCGAGTAAACAAAGGCACCGAATGTGGCACGTAAACACACAAATGAATCCAGGCTAAGGCCAGTTGAGAGAAATACGAGTAAACAATGGAGTTGTTTTTTTTTCTCTATTTTTTTTTATTTTCTACGAAAACTCTAAGAAAATTAACCTCCACAAAGGTTTCAATTGCATTCAAGAGTAAACAAATTTGTGTGGAATCGAAAACAATTCGAATGCGTCTTAGCAGGAGAGCAAAGAGAAAATAGAAAAGAAAATAGTTGATCTAAGGAAAGCTGCAAGTACTCTGCATTAAATTAGGAGTAGTTCTTATAATACTTAGAACCTCTAAAGATTTCAATTTATGGGGAATTTGTGTAATCTTAGACTAATTTGTAGCCTTGCATAAAATTTTATAATTATTCATTACTCAACAATTTTAAAAGAAACTCTAAGAAAATATGCCACAATGGTTTTAAATTGCATTTTTCCTGCGAAAGTCTTACTAAACCGATTCATAGAAACTCCAATCATAACAAATACCTTTCTAAGAGTTTAATTTTCAAGTTTACATCCAGAAAAGTCAACAATTTAACGCGTAAAAATATTTTCTCTTGCTCCAGGCGGCCTTGATTAATATTATCTTAAAATTTCTTTGAGCAATTAAATAGCTTGGCAAAAGCCCTACATAATTTATGAAGTGGTTTTACATAAAATATTTAACTCCACTCCATTGGATACTGCAAAATGTGAAATTTAATTTAAGCAAATATTTTGGAGTGACCCAAATGCCTTGATTAATATTTTCTTTGAGCAATTAAAGGAGCAATACACATCATTTATTAAAATTAACCCAACATCTTTAGCCATTTGTAAACATGTTGGGGCTTAAAAGTTTTTTGCCACCAGCAATGGTGGTGCTGGTTGGGGCGGTTACGGCGGCGCTTGTTTGGTTTATGTTTGCCATGTAAACAAATAAACAAATGAACAATAAACAATGGCACCAGCAGAGGGAAAACATAAATAGAAAGACGAAGCAGCGGACGTGTGCATTTTGCATTTGCAGCTGCAACGGAATTAAAATTAAAGTCGAGGGGGAAACCGTTTAAGATGCAATTAAATCCCTTGACCCCACTCAGCTCATTAGGCATGGCTCGAAATACCAAACTAATTGCACGACGACGTCGAGTGAGTACTCCTCTAAGAGTACAGAACGTGGGAAATGGAGACGCCTCAGATTGCACAAGATATTTGCAATCATGACGAACCCGAGCCCAGAGCCAAAGCGAAATCCAACCCATCGGAATCGAAATGGAATGGAAACGTTACCAAGGTGTGGTCTCCGAAGTTCACTTTGCAATCTGAATCCGAAAGATTGCAAAAGCCAGGCCAAATGCACGGCCAATTGAATCATCATCATCGTACTCGTCGCGGGCAAAACTTTTGGTTTTGTTTTCGGTTTTTTTTCTTTCAGCTCATTTAAATGCTAAGCATGCGATGCTCGGTTTAGAAAACTCTAAGCGACAAAACCGCAGTCAGCCGACCGAACTTTATCTAGACCATTAAGTTTTACAAAGGAAAATATGCCAGCTAAGTGCTGTTTTTTTTTCCCCTCTTCCCTCAGTTCAGGGGAAGCCGGAACGGAGGAACTTCTAACATCAAACCGAACCGACGAACCGCGAGATGATGACTCAGCCAAAGTCAACAAGCGAACTTAGCAGCAATAAAACACGGCCTCAAAAGACACTTACAGCTCAAACAGACCAAGAGCCGGCACACAGACAGCTGAAAAATATGTATCTATAACGCTCATATGCGCTTCAAAAAAGATTACACTAAGCTACGGGGATTTATTTTAATAACAGCATTGGGTTATTCCCTGAATATAAGCTGCAAAAATTATTTTAAATGAATTTTAAAATTTATTGCGTTTATTAAAGAAATAACTCTTGGTTTTTCATTTTGTTTAACACAAGTTCTGGGCTTTAGAAATGTTTAAAAATATCTTATAATTTTTTTAATTGAAAGGCATTCATTTTAAAAATACTTTGTTATATTCATTAAAAAAAGTCCTGCCATTTGTATATTTATACCTATTATTTTCCATTTCTAAGGAATACTTGGTAAAAAAATATTAACAGCAACTTTCAACTGTTTTATTAACCATGTAAAATATTAAGAAGTATTACATTAACATAAGATAAAATTAAATTAAACATTTAAAAATACTGTACCCACCTAAAACTCATCTCTCTTAAATTGTTTCTGTGAAAAGAAAACCACCACAAGAAATTTCTATATCTTTATCTACATTATTTAGAGCCCAAATTCCCTCTCTTTTCCTACCGTCAAGTGTAAAAAAATGGTGTGTTCTTTGTGACTGTGGTATGAGTTTTCTTGTAGTTCTAATTTGCTTGGGTCATGCGTCGAGGTTAATGAGTCATATCATCATCATTATCTCGACACCGAGGAACGCAGATGAGAGGTATGGTGGAAGGGGAGGGATCAGAATGGAGGGACTTCATCAAAACGAAAGCAGAGGACACACATTAAAATATAATTTCAGAGACAATGGTGAAGAAAACCGCTTTTTGTTTTGTAATTTAGATGCAATTAAATGTAAATAAATTCACAATTTAGTCGTATGTTCTTTTTATCGGAGGGTTTTTCGGGGCTTTTCTTGGTCTCAGTCTTCGTCTCCGTCTCAGTCTTTGTTTGCCCTTTCCCTCTTTCAGTTTGTTGCTGGTTTGGTCGGTTTGGTGACCCGATTTCCGCAATTTAATGACTTTTGTTTGACCAGCGCATAATTGCTGGGAACAAAAAAAAATTGCCCAAGAAAGAGACAGAGCACAGCAGTCGAATGCTGAATGAAATTGCGGAACTTTCTTTTTTCTCATTTACTTTTTTCTCGGTTTTTTTTTTTTTGCCAGGCCTCACTAAATTCTCTTTTGTGTGTCTTTTGTTTGGTTTTAGTTTTTCCTTTCCTTGAATTGTCTTTCCACCGGCACTGTCAGTTTCTGGTCCTAAGTACAACAAAAAAAAAACAGCTTGGGAAAAGTAATATATTTTACTAAGAATTTAAAAGCAAAAAATCCGTAGTATTTTATTAAGAAGAATTTAATCATATTTATATCATAAAAACAATTATTTGGATCACATTTGGAAAATATAAAACATTTTAGGCATTTCAAAAATGTAAACAGTCAAACAACTTTCTTTCTCTGTAAATTTTTTGTTATAAAATCATTTCTATATTCATCTCTGGTCATTTTCTTTCCGATTGCTAACGAGCTGGTGATAATTTTTTAGCAGAGGCGCACATTTATTGACTTTTTGTGTGGCACTTTTGTGGATTTTAGATTTGTGGTCTTATGGCTGGGCATTATTATCTACCACAACGGCGGCGGCGGCGACTATATTTGTCTTTGTTTGACCCGCAAGACGGAAATGAGCCGTGCCTTTTTTTCCTCTATTTTCTTGGGTTCAAGGATCAAGGTTGTTCTCCCTCCTCTCAGTCCTTAATTTCTTTTTTTCTTTCTCCCTGTTTTTGTTGCTATTGATATCTTTGTTACACACACACACACACATTCTGGGATAAGACAGCTAAAGAAGGCAATTTGCTGGGAGCCGGGGTGGTGGCGGGAGTAATGGAAAAAACTGGATCGAGGGGCGAAAACTAAGAGTTTAGCTCTGCATTTTGGTTTGGGAGACATTAAGTAGCGGAAGTTGATAAGAAAGGCAAGCAAAATGTTATTTATAGATAACGAAAAGCGATTTGGAGGGGAAAGAAGTATACAAAACACACACAAGAAATCAGGGATAGGTAATAGGAAATGAAAGCATCGAAAGGAAAGGCATTCAAAAAGGGTTGAAGTGGCTTAAAAAAAACTATAAAAACAGACTAAAGCACTTGACTTCAATGTGAATAATTCAGGACGTTGAATTTTAAATTGTAATATTTCCGGAACTTAAAACCGCTTAAATTATATATTAAATATCATCACACTGTCATAGTTATTTTCTTTATTCATAATTACTAAGCTTTTATAAATAAAAACCTTTTAATTCCCCACACACTGCTTAATTACTATAATAAATTATACATTTAATTTACTTTTAATCCGTAGAGTCTTTAAGATTCATCCTTTTATGCCCTGCACTTTATTGTTTTTCTCTCAAGCGCTGTACTTAAATTTCCAGCAAATAGCTCTTTCTTATGTATAAGAAAAAAGAAAATCTACTCAACCCCAAGACCTTAATCCGTAGAACATTAGACATAAGCTCTCAGACAGAAAGAATTTCGTATGCCTGAATTATAATTCAATTTATGACCCCGTCCGTATGGCTTAAACTACTTCCAAAAAAGAAAAAATCCTTTATCAGCGACCACTTCGATATGCAAGACCTGAGCTGCATGCATTATCCTCCGCAAGCGATTCCCCGGCGGAGTGACCCTCGTCAAAAGCCTGATAGATTCCAGTCAGAGGAAAAATAAAAAGAGACTCCCGCCGGAAGCACCTAACCCAAACTCCACATATCCCGCTCTCTCATTAGCATACAAATGTGTCAGAACAAACAACAACCAAATAACCGAAAGGAACTGAAATGTCTTTGAAAAAAAGAAGAGAAAGAACCACCGACCGAACGTCCGAAAGAAATATACAAATCGTGGAATGGGCAGCGTGATTTCTTGACTAATTTTTATGACACTTTTCACTTTATGAGGTGGCCCCGGCTAATTCCCGAGTTCTCTTTCTTTTTATCCGTTTTGTTCTTGTTTTTCCCGATTTTGCTGCTCCTACTTTATTTACCTTTTGGCTCTTATTGAACAGGGGAACGAATAAACCATATGCATGTAGTACCCCGGGGCCGTAAAGATTTTTATCGCTCGAGGATATGTGTCATAAAATTTCCTAGCTCTCGAGACTATTAAAAACAATAAATGTCAAAACGAAACGGATTTTCCAGTATATGCGTGTACCTTAGAGTGCCGCCGGTACCATATTCTCGGGGGGAAAACTGGACAGGGGCCAAAATGGAAAATAATGGGTATACTGTAGGTTATGGGGTTGATAAAGCCACTACTCCATAGCGTTGTCTTTGGGTGGGATTTACAAACAGAAGTGCATAAATATATAAAAAAAAAGAAAAAGGAATGTACTGCATAACCTGAAATGGAATGTTTTTACGGGAACATTTCAAGGGATTTATTTTTATCGTTATGACTTGCTTTCTAAGCCCCTAAAGAACAGGTAAGAATAACTAATTCTTTGGCAAAGCTACTGCAGAAAATTTCTCTCCGCATCTATGAAAATCTTTAAAAAAATATATAAAAGGAAGTTTACTGTCAAAATGGAACGAATTTTTCAGTATGTGCGAGTTTTTAAAGTGTACGTGGATTTCCCCAGGGAAACCCAGTCTTTGATAAAAAGAAAATAATGGGGCTGTTGAGGATTATGGGGTTGAAAGGTCATTCTGTTAAATACACCAAAGGTAGTACATAAATAGTAAAGAATTTACTATTAAGGACATGTTTTTAGGAAATATTATGAACCTTAAACAGTAGAAAAATGTATCCACTAAATCCGCTTTTTTTTAAACCAAAATTTAAAAAAAATTTGCCTAACGTTATTATTAAAGAATACCCTATAGAAATTCCTCTTTTATTATTTTCTTTTCCAAATTAAACATGTCTAATCCATTCTGCTCCAGCAACTAATCTTTTCTTGTGCTCCCCCCTCGAACTACAAGGCCCTAATTCTTTCTCATTTAGAAGAGCCTCGAAATGTGAATTCTTGCTCTATTTTTATGGTTTCCACTTTGTCCTTGTGTCGTACGGCAGGACATTAGGCAGGCAAATCACGTAAATTATGACCGGGGCCACTATAATTCCTTATCGCCGGGACATGATTTCAAATGATAGACTGCGGAGAAGACTGGAATGGAGGCATCTATCTCAATGGCCCGAGGGGAAGATTTTTAGTAGGCGCGACAAGTTTTTTTTTTCTTTACTCGAGGAGTAAGCAACAGTAGGGGGAGCAGTGAGGAGAAGGAACAGGAGGAGGTGGATTGCAATTGGCAACTGGCGCAACGCATAAATTGAGAATTTTTATCTAATCCGCGGCATCTGGGAGACGCGTACATTAGCTGGCACCAGTCTGTCCTGTCCCTGTCCTGTCCCGTCTGGCTTTATACACACTGGACATCGGGACGGGGCAGGACTGGGTCTTTCTGGTTCGCTTTTCGGATCCAAACCGAGTCTCAGCGAGACTCTGAGTTTGGCCAAAAAGCAACGAGACTGCGACTGCGACGACGACGACGACGACAATCGACAGGCAATAAATCACCCAAAGTTGCCACAGAAATTTATGTGCAGCAGATTAGGATCGCGAAAAGCGTCATTAGAATAAATTTTCATTGGAAAATGAGCGCCGGGTCCAAAAGCCAAGTGAAGCAAAAGAATTGATGAGAAACGCAGTTCAAGTTGTAATAATTATGAGCTCGGGAATTGGGGAATTCCTCTTTACGATAAGAAATTTGAAAAATGCAGAACCGGACATCATAATAAATGGTATTTAAGATTATTGACTTGGAAGACAAGGATTTTTAGGACACATAGTTGGCTTTCTTATCAGTAAAAACCATGTAGGTTCTTACATATATTTGTTAGAAAAAACACAAATTAACCAGCAAAATAACCGGAGTCCGAAAAAACAATATGTATTTGTGTGATTCTGTTTTAGTTTATTTGTTAAAATAAACCTGCTAAGATATTTCCAATATTGCGAAATGGCGATTTCCATAATTTATTATGGTGAATGCTATAATAAAATGTTTTTAACTTGTTCCAATAAAATTAAACTATGTAGTACAAATTTCCAATTACAGTGGTGCTCATAGACTTAAGCCACAAGACTTCAACCAAGAATTTAAACGAAAATTAAGAAAAGTTTTTATTTCACAGCTCCAATTATTTGTGTCACATTAGTTCTATATATCAGTGTTCTAATAAAAGAATAACCAAGTTATAAAAATATATATTCAACGAAAAACTTAAAAAATCGGAGACCATCTCCAAAATGTCCTGCTCACATACTTAAGCCACCTGGAAGAAAATGATTGAAAAAGTTAAAATTTGCCCAATATTCCTTATAATTTTAATAAATTTACTTTAATATTGAGTGGGAATTTGCAATTTGTGGCATATTTTGCAAGAAGAGTTGAAGAAAATCACACCTCAACAGGGCGCACGTCTTGTGGGTTCAATGCTAAAGCGTTGATCCACTGTTCTTAAGAAGAAAGGTCATCTCACTCAATATTAAAGTAAATTTATTAAAATTATAAGGAATATTGGGCAAATTTTAACTTTTTCAATCATTTTCTTCCAGGTGGCTTAAGTATGTGAGCAGGACATTTTGGAGATGGTCTCCGATTTTTTAAGTTTTTCGTTGAATATATATTTTTATAACTTGGTTATTCTTTTATTAGAACACTGATATATAGAACTAATGTGACACAAATAATTGGAGCTGTGAAATAAAAACTTTTCTTAATTTTCGTTTAAATTCTTGGTTGAAGTCTTGTGGCTTAAGTCTATGAGCACCACTGTATGTAGTAAAAAATTTCCAATTATGGTATAATCAGAAGTTTAATTTTCAAAAGATGCCCTGCTAACTCTTTGAACACTAAATATGCGAGTTTTCAATTTTAACGATCTCTAGTCTTTAAAAGTTAATTACTTTTAAGAATTATTCGGGGTTGAAAAAATCATTGCAAATCAAAGTAAAAGTTCTAAAATTTCGACTTACCTTTTGCCGTCTTCTTCTTGTTGCCGTCTGCTGCTGCTTCCTCTTCTGTTTCCTTTTTCTAGATTCCACGTTGCTCCTTATCTTTCTCTCAGGACATTAATGATTAATCCCAGCGTCGTCTGCGCTCTCCTTTTTTTATAGCTTTTTCTTGTTGTTGGAATTTGCCGTGCTTTTGTTGTTGTTGTGCGTGTGCCGTTATTGGCGGTATAATCCAATAATCCAACACGAAAGAGCGTGTGCAGTGGGAATTGCAAAAACTAGAGACACAGACGCACAGACACACTCACACACACGCAAACACCCACACAGCCACACGCATACTGTTTGCCGCTTTGTTTAGTAAATTAAACTTTTCACTTTTCACGCAGCAAAAGGGAAACTGGAAAATGGGCAATTTTCCTACTTTGTTTCTTCTTGAGCGCCAGCCTTAGTTTCGCTTTGGTTTTTTTGCTGTTTTCCGGCGTTTTTCTTACTTATTTTTTCCAATCACAAGCACAGCAACAACACAGACGCAAACACACACACACCAACACCAGCACCGAGAGGTACAAAACAAAAGCAAATGCACGACGCCAACGCCAACAGCAACAACAACAAAACGCCGCTGTAGTACACAAAAAAATTCCTTTTTTCGCCGCGCGTCGCCTCCTTTTTACATATTCTCTGTATATATGTATTGGTATGTATTATTTTTTTATTTTTATTTTTATTTCACACAGCAATTCTTGCTTATTTTTATGACTTTTGCACCTCTAGGATTAATTTCTCTTCTCTTTCTTTTTATTTAATGCCGCACTTGATTTTTGAGACTGCGTTTTACCTCTCTGTCGCACTCACCGTTTGATTGGGGGGGATAACAACAACAACACACACGATCTCGTCAATTGGTCGCGTAATTGTCGACGCTCATTTGGTAAACATTTGGAGTTTTTCATCCGATTTTCCGTTCACAAAAACACAAAAACTATAACTTCGCGCTCGCACAAAGGTTTAACCGTTACGGACGCGAAAACACGGCAAAACAGAGGAAAATCCGGCGGAAAACCAAGAGCGACGCTGGCTTTTCCTTCGACAAATTGTGAGTTTTCCGCGGCGGAGCGGCACAGGGCCAACGTTGGAAGTTTTTCCGAAAATTTTTTTTTAAAACTGAGTTAGCACTGCCTTATATAGCCTCTGCGCTCTTGCTGTTCTTTTCGCTCTCTCAGAGCGCGCGCACTATGTTGCTCTCTCTTTTTCACTTATATGCACAAAGAGCGGGGGAGGGAGACAGACGTTGCGAGAGAGAGCATAAATGAGAGAGAGAGAGAGAGCACTTGAAACTAGTTTGAAATGAGCCGCTCAGTGTGACCAGTCGTGGTTTCTTAGAAAAAATCTTATATTACTAAAATACTAAAGAAGTGCTCATAATAGTAGATTAATTATGCTGATATGACACAGCCGCATTAATTTGAGACTTCATTAAAGATTTGACAGCGCTATAGCGTTTTACACAAGTGCGAGCAAGACGACTATATGGCGCTCTAATGCATTAGAATAATGCATTAGCTACTTCATTGGCGCGATAATCGATAGATCTACATAAAAATACTAGATACTCGATAACAAAATACGGGTTTAATGAAAAAAATTGTAATTGAAAACTGTATTAGCCAGCTCATTGACAGTATGGTCTCACAATGAGAATTATATTTTTATATCATTTCGCTGGTTTTTGAACTGAAAAATATATTAGAAAATAAGGAAAAATAATATGTTTTACGATGGCAAGGTTCTTGCGCTGTAAAATTAATTAAAATTGTTTTTTGTAATAATTAAAAAAATTTTAAGCATTATATGTTAAAAACATAAATTTAAAGGATTCTGCATTTATTTATGCAATTATACTTCGACTAGGAATTCAGAAATATAATGCTTAAAATTTTTTTAATTATTACAAAAGAAAATAATTTTAATTAATTTTACAGCGCAAGAACCTTGCCACCGTAAAACATATTATTTTTCCTTATTTTCTAATATATTTTTCAGTTCAAACACCAGCGAAATGATATAAAAATATAATTCTCATTGTGAGACCATACTGTCAATGAGCTGGCTAATACAGTTTTCAATTACAATTTTTTTCATTAAACCCGTATTTTGTTATCGAGTATCTAGTATTTTTATGTAGATCTATCGATTATCGCGCCAATGAAGTAGCTAATGCATTAGAGCGCCATATAGTCGTCTTGCTCGCACTTGTGTAAAACGCTATAGCGCTGTCAAATCTTTAGTGAAGTCTCTAATTAATGCGCCTGTGTCATATCAGCATAAGTGGGAAGTAAATAAACTGCGTTATTATTAACACCGCAAAAGACTGACATTGGCTGCAAGATATATCACTCAGACAACTTTAAAAAAACACACTCAACAACTTTAAAAATCTCTTTAACCGTTACTATTTAAAATGTTAAAATGTTATTTCCCTATTTAGTTTGTACGAAAAAAAAATGTATAAAAATTAAACAAAATTATATTAATAATATAAAATATAGATAAGAAAATCTACACAAAGTCCAGCTTAAATGCACATGCATTTTATATAGATACATTTATTTAGAATAAAAATTAGCATTTTAAAAAAAAATTTTAAATTTTAATAGAATTCAAATTTGCATCTAAAACATTTAAATTCATTCACATTTACCCAATGAATTAATATTATCAATAATCTATAACCTATAAAATAAATAAAGAGCAAAATAATCAGATTATGCCGAAGTCAGTGAAAGTTATTTATTTTCACTCTCTTCACCTGCTCTCTTTTGTTGTGTGATTTTTTTTTATACATTTTTTTCTAATCAAAATATTTCCCTAATAACTTCTCACATATATTTTTCTGCCCACTCACCCGATAAGATAACACATATAGGAAAAAAGAGTCAACAAGCTTAGCAAATCAACGCTTTTTCATAGAGAACAATTATTAGTTGCGCTGGGCTTTCAAAGCTGCGCGGTTGTTTGGTTTCCCCACTGTTTGCTAAATAAATTATAATCGGAAAAGTTGCCAATTTTAAGTGAAATGAACGTGAAAATGACGTCACCTGGCGTGCAGGTGTTTTGGCTGATCTTCCTGCTCGTTGTAATTCAGGGGATCTTGCAATCGGAAGCTGCTTCCGTCGGTTCGTTGACATTATGAGAACTTACAGTTACATAATAATTATAATAATGCTCTCTTTCGCACTCAGATGAACAGTGCCGGCACGCCGACAGCTGTGAGAGATGCCTCTCCGCCCACCTGGAATGCGCCTGGTGCACAGATAAGGTGAGTGAAATTTGTTTTCTTATTTATATGCATCCTAATTCGGATAATTTCTTGAACACGTCCTTAAATTTAAATGTATTCTTTAGCATTTTATTAAATGTATCCTATTTGAAATATTGTGGTCACATTGCCTTGATCCTTGATCTTCGCTTACGCTATCTCTTTCCCTTTTTCCCAGGTGTATGAATCGAACCTCTATCGCTGTCTTACTCGCTCGCAGCTCCTGGCGAACAACTGCAGCGAAAGCGAAATATACAATAACCAGCCGGCCTTAGATATCCTGCAGGAAAAACCCCTAAAGGACTACGAGACCAACGACGATCAAGCGGTACAGGTGACACCGCAGCGAGCATACCTCAAGCTGGTCAAAGGTGTGTGTGTGCGTGTGTTGCTCCCTATTATTTTTTTTTAACAAAAGTTGTTATCTTATCAAATGTGTGTCAGAGCAGAGCCCTTCTACCAACCACTCTCTGTTGATTTTTTTTTTTTTGTCGAGTGTGTCACTCTTCGGCTTCTGCCTTCCCCTTATTCGTGTGTTTACTTTGCTGATTTGTTCCACATCATTTTCTAACATTTTGTTTTGTGTCCGCGCTTCGCTTATCAGCATTTTGTGGTTGTCACATCTTTCTGGGTGTTATTTGTTATTGTTTTTGGCGTGGGAATACGATTACTACTTATACCCTAGGCGATCTCGCTCTCTTAGTCTCTCTGAGAAAGTGCATTGAACCCACTTGATAAGTAAGTGTGAAGCCAGGATTAGTTAGTTTTATATTTAGTTAGGCCTTGAGTTGATGTAAAATCTGAATCATCATTTCCTTTCTCAGTTTGCACTTAGAATGTGAATCATTAATCCTAAGAAGATTATTACTTTAGCATTATTGCAAACAATGAGTCTTCCTTATGTGATTATTTGATAAAATAGGGTAGAGATTGTATTGTTTAATCGGAGTAAAAATAATGTCAAGTTTTACATAATTAATCCAAAAGATACAATTTTCTTTCACATATAGATATCTCCAATCCCTTAGAACCTTCTGTCTATAAAAAGTACATGTATCTCAATCAGTTTGTGGTGTTGAGTTAACCCATTATAGATACTCATTATGGCTGGCTGCCAATGATTAGCTAGCTACAACAGCTTGTTAACCACTTTGATATCCATTCATATTATGTTTAAGAGAGGATCGCCTAACCAGCTTAAGAACCACTAAAAAAACCCAGTAATTAAGGTCAAAAAAGTGGTGTAAAAGGAACCCAGACAAATTGCACACTTACGAGGATTACAAAGAAACCAAACATTTAGCTTGGGTGTGAACGCAGCTCAAGCGGTAATGAATGGGTTGCCAAACAGAAGCAGGTTGCACTGTAAAAAATCAGAGATAATATAGAAAATAAAAGGAAAATTTTAGAAAGGAAATATATGAAATAGAAATAGTAAAATAAGAGTACATTCAAAATATCTTAGAGTAGAAAAACCTTGATAATGGATTTTTAGTTTTTAAAAGTCTTTTTTTAAGTGCTTGTAAAGGGATTAAAGTCCAGTGCAGACTGGTTTCATTTTATGCAGATATGTCAGCCCATAAAACAGCTCATAAACAAAGTCGTCGGATAGTAAACCGATCTATAACTTTTAACTCTCCTTCCTTTTTTTTTGTTTAACAGGAAACACGCAACGCATCAAGTTGAGCTACCGTACGGCACGCAATAATCCCCTCGATTTGTACGTCTTGATGGACCTTACCTGGACAATGGGGGACGACAAGCAGACACTCGAGAAATTGGGAGCTGAACTTATCCAGACCTTGAGAAATTTAACTGAAAACTATCGTCTAGGATTCGGTTCCTTTGCGGATAAGCCAACGCTACCCATGGTTAATCCTGAAAACATGGACAATCCCTGTGCTGTTCTTGGGCATGTTTGTGAACCCACCTATGGCTATCGTCATCAATTGTCCCTAACCGAGGATATACGTTTGTTTACGGCGGCGGTGGCCAATAGCAAGATCACTGGGAACTTGGACAACCTCGAGGGTGGCTTAGATGCCCTCATGCAGGTGATAGTGTGTCCCAAGGATATTGGTTGGAAGGAGCAGGCCCGTAAGGTGGTTATCCTTGTCACCGATGGCTTTATGCACTTGGCCGGGGATGGTTTACTCGCTGGCATTGCTCAGCGTAATGATAAGAAGTGTCATCTTAACCAGGCTGGTGAGTATACGGGTTCCTTGGAGTATGATTATCCCTCGCTGGAGGAGATCTATAGGGAGTTGCTGCGTCGCAAGACCAATGTGATCTTTGCGGTTACCAAGGATGTGGTGAGCAGTTACAGGGAACTGAGTGCCTTGATGAAGGAAATCAGTTATGTGGATATTTTGAGTGAAGATTCTTCTAATATCTTGGAATTAATTAAGAAGAGGTGAGTCTTTTTAAGGGGTTTCTATTGTAACGTTATATTAATTTGATATATTTTTCTTATTTACAGTTATGAGAGTCTCATTAAACGCACTCAGTTTGCCGATAATAGTCCGGATTATATTCAACTGGAGTATTATACCGACTGTGCAGGACAGTTTCCCAGTTTACGTAAAAGGAACTATTGCAATAATGTTTCTCTGGGCAAGGAAATTGAGTTCTTTGTGGATGTTACCCTGAAAGATTATCCTCTTGATAAGAATTATGTGAGTGAGAGAATATTAAAAATACTTAAGTTGATTTGTAGATACCAATAATATTTTATAGCATACTTTAAGACACAAAGTTTGAGTGATTTCAAATCTGTAAAGATCCCTAATCTTTAATCTTTGATTAATTTTTACTCATTTTATTTATTTATTTTTTTTTTAGACCCACAACATCCGTGTTGGCGAAACTTCCCTCAGCGAATACATGGACTTGGAGGTGGAGCTGCAGCGCCCATGTCCTTGCCAGGAGAAACCAGATCCGGAGAATGAATATGGACGCTTTCAGTGCTCCGAACAGGGCTACATGTACTGCGGCATGTGCACCTGCGATGAGGGCTGGACGGGCACCCTGTGCACCTGTCCCACAGACAACACCAATGTGACCAGCAACGATGCTCTTCTCCTGAAATGCCGTCAACCCTTACTTGACCACACCCACTCCTCGTTGGTTTGCTCAAATCACGGCGACTGCGATTGCGGCACTTGTTTCTGTGATCCAGGCTATACAGGTCCTTATTGTGAGTGCAAGGAGTGTGTGGACTGCGATAGTGACCTGGCCGATTGCTCCTGTGGGCAATGTGTGTGCAAATATGGTTGGTCGGGCACGAGATGCAATTGTGCCGAGAATATGGATGCATGTCGAGGACCCACTGGAGAGATCTGTTCACAGCGCGGAGCCTGCGACTGCGGCGAGTGTAGCTGTGAGGATGAGTTCCTGGGCAAGTTCTGCGAGATTGATCCGGAAAAGGATAACAAGTTGTGTCAGTTCTATGAGCCTTGCGTGACCTGCTTAATTGAACAGAAGCAGGGCATGGGCGCCTGTGATAATTTGAGTGAAATCTGTAAAAGTTTGGACCGTCAAGAGCTCTTCACGTATCGCTTTGTCCATGAGCTAGAGCCGGAGCAGGCACGTTGCCTGGTGAGGATCGTCAATAAGCATGGCATTCAGTGTGACAGTTTCTTCAGCTATCAGGTCATCAATCCCTCCAACGAGCTATCCATCCAGGCTGTGGATTGTGAGCCCTTGGACTATATGGCCCTGTTTGGTTTTATATCAGGTTTTACGGTGCTGGCTGGACTGCTGCTCATGTGCCTAATATGGTGGTGCATTCGGGCCAAGGATGCGAGGGAGTATGCCAGATTCCAGGAGGATCAGAAGAACTGGGTGAGGCAAGAGAACCCCATTTACAGGGACCCTGTGGGTAGATATGAGGTGCCAAAGGCTTTGAGTGTAAAGTATGATGAGAATCCTTTTGCTAGTTAAGGGGGGTTTCACTTTTTGGTATATATAGATTAGTCCAACAAAAATATGGCAAACTTTAACATATCAAAATTTTTAATTTGAAAATATCTATATTTCGAACAAAATTATTAAAAAAATTTTACTTAATTTATTTGCGATATTTTCCGATTATATTGGTCTGACTTATCGAACAGAATAGCGATTTATCGTATATATGTTACATATATCCCAAAGTTCAAATATTGATTTATTTATCGTCTTTCGATGCAGTATCGATATTTTGATATTATTTAAATATTTATAATTATTGTGTGTAGGAAAATGGAATATTTTAAGTATTTTATTCAAGTATTTCAGAGAGTTTATCTTTCGATATAATTTGTAATCCCAAACCAAAGTTCCCTTGAACAAAAAACACTTTGTACACTTTCATTTTTTCATATATAATATATTTTGAACATAATTTGATTTTGTTTATACATAAAAATGATTGTGAATCGTTCAATAATTCGTAAATATAAACTAAGCTAAACTAGTCTAAGAATTATTTTATAGCTATAAAGAAAAGATAACATTTTTTATAACAAGATTCTGTTGTTTAAATGGGACAAGAATTCGGGGAAAAATAATAGTGAATATTTAAAATTAAGTGATGACTATTACTGGCAAAACGGAAATGCAAGACATTATCCTAACATATAGAGAGGCATTACAAAAATACAATTCGATTAATTAAGGCTAAACACGCTTTTCCCGTTTCATTCTACTTTTAACTAAATGTAATATCACTAGATTTGTAGCTTAGATTTTAGTAAATGGGTTTCTCCTTCAGCAGCGACGAAAAAAAATGCCAAAAACACGAAATTCAATTACACATCGACGCATTTTCGCGAAAGTATCGTATGTCGAAAAATCCAATTTTACAGGAGAAGCTTTTTTGTGCTTTAATCTCTTAGGAAGCACTATAGAAAAGACAAAATTGAAACTTAATTTTTATCGGAACTATAGGGTTTTCAGTTATAATATTTCACAGGGTAGTGAGACATTAGGTGCCTAACAATTTTGCATTAAAATCTCAATTTCGAAAAAAAGCGACATACGATACTTTCGCGAAAATGCGTCGACATGCTCGTAACTCCTCCACGCTCATAAAATGCACACAACGTTCGGCGAGAGAAATTTAGGAGTGAGTGGGTACAATACAGGATATGGGGTAGGAGGGTGTCGCTGCTCAAAGGACACGCTCCCCCAGCGACGGCGTTCGCTGGATCAGCATCGAGGGTGGCTTCGCCGGCAGCGTCACGCTGCTCAGCTCAGCATCCAGAGCGGCAATGTCGGCGGACATGGACTTGGCCTGCGACTTGGGCGGCGATGGGGCGACTATCGAGCTGGGCAATCCGTGGGGCGAGGCATCGGGCACCAGGCGTTTCAGCAGACCGCCCACACAGCCCCAGGGGAAGGTCCTGTGAAAATACAACAACGGAGGGAGGTGAGTGAGCGCGGGCCAAAGGTAAATATTATGCATTATTAAAGAGAAACACATTAAAGCAAAGACCATTAGGCATGGTAATGTGGGGGGTACGCTATGATTTTGTACAGGGCGGATTTGTACACTCGACTTTTGTCTTGAGTTCTAGTTCTAAAATATCAAAATTTTTGTTTAAAAATTTTTAAAAGATAGTTGAAAATAATTATTAAATATTTTTAAATTCGATTGTAGATCAAATTCTTGTAAGAAATATTAGAAAATATTTAGACACTTGAATTTTCTCCAAAACTGGCTAAGAATTATTATAAAATCATCTTTAAAATCTATATTTGTTTCTATATTAATTACTAATCCTTAATATTATATTTATTAAATTAATTTCTTAAATATATTCTTTAAAATAATGTATAATTTTTTTATTTCATTACTCTTTTTTCTAGCACTGTATCTAGATGAACAAGCACTTTCCACTCAGGTTGGCATTTTTATCATATTTTTTGATGCTTTAGATAAAGTTGCGGTCGGTCTTTTAGAAAATAATAACAAAGATTTTCTTTTTTTTTTTTGGTAGAGCCAAAGAAAGAGATAACCATTAATATTTAATGAAAAATGTTTAACTTTAGAATGTTTCCCTTGGGTACAAAATTAAAGAAAACTTTAAATGGATTAAATTGAGAGCTTCGGTGAAAAATACTTAATATTCAAGGCTTTTTTAGTGAACTTTGAAAAGGTAATTTAGCTAACGAGAAATTATATTATAAATAACTTTGGTAAATAATTGTTCATAAATTCCAGCTAGTATAGGTTCAAAAATTATAACACTGTTCATGAAAATCTAATAATAACCTCTTATATTATTTTTAATAAAAAAACATACCCTATATTTAAATCAAAATGATCAACAACACCTTTTACCCCATCTTACACCCATTTTTGATTAATTTCTTCCCCTTTTCTACACCAAACTACAACATTAAATAAACTCAAATTAAAATATTCAAGTCAAGCATTTCCCCTTTTTGTTATTTTGATGGCCTGTCCATTAGGGGGACTACAAGCGAGCTAAAAGACCCAAGACGGGTCTTACAACCATTATGGCGCCTAATTAAGTGCAGCAAATTATAATTATTATCATTATTCAGACGGGTGAGAAAGGCCATTTGTTTACTCACCACTTGAAGGAGAGGAGGACCTTGAGGAAACCAGGAATGACGGCCAGTTTCTCGTTCTTCCTGATGGCCACAATGACACGATCGGCCACATCGTTGGGATTCAGCGTGGGGACCCATCTGAAATCATTTTTTCCCCAGTCAAAATGTCAGTTTACTCCGGGAAAAGAAGAGAGGCGAAGAGGGGGGGCACTGGACCCTGGACACTCACCTGGCATTCACATCGTCGAACATGCCAGTGGCCTGGATGAAGAACGGGCAGATGCAGGTGGTACGGATGTTCGTATGGCCAAGGACTTCCAGCTCCAGACGCAGAGCCTCATCAAAGCCAACCTGTAATTATCGATAACTCTCAAATGGTGAAGAGGGGGAACTCCCTGAAGCCGGGCCAAAACTTACCGCTGCGAATTTACTGGCACAGTAATCGACCAATTTGCTAATGCCCACATGGCCGGCCAGCGAGGCAATTGTGGCAATGTGTCCTCGATCATTCTCAATCATCTTGGGCAGAAACGCTTTTGTCGTCTGCAACATTGTGTAAGAATAAACCAGGCATTAGCATCTTTCATTTTTGTATGTTTTTTACTTTGTTTCCCTACCCAAAAGTGTGCCATGACATTCACATTGAAGGAGCGCTCGATGAGATGGTCAGGTGTGTCCAAAAGGTGCAGGCCGGAGACAACGCCAGCATTGTTGATCAGCAGAGTGATCTGGAAATTAAAAAGAAAATGTGATACAATTTATTAAGGGGATTAATTAGTAAAAATGTGCTTATTGTTATATTTAGTTAATTTTTAAAACATTAAAGTAAATGTAAAGTTATTTTATTAATTCACAAGACAACTTCTACAAGCTCTTGGAATAAAATTATAAAATATTCCGAACTTAACACAACAAATTCTTTAGGCCTAATGGAAAATCGTTGTCTTGCTTAGATAAGACCTTGCTTTTTTTAATGACCACACATTGCCGAAAAATGTTGCCAAAAAATTTACATAAATTGCGTAACTTCTGGTTGTGCCACTAACACCAAAAAGTCAACAAATATGCATTTATTCTTGACTCGTTTGATTATCTGGCCAAACATTTGAATGGTGTAGGCTGGGCCGAGGCATAAACTTGGCTAGAAACGCACACAAAATTGGTTAGTTTAAGATTTGACCTGGAAAATTGTTAATCAAGGTTTTTTCAAGAGATTCATTTTATTTTTTAAGATATTAAAATATTTTTTAAAGAAATGTTTTAAAGAAAATGTTTATATTATATTTATAAAACATATTTATAGAATTTATAGAATTCAATATATTCTTCAAAAAATTGTTTAAATTTTTCTTATAAAAAATTTAAGTACTACAAAAATTTCAGAAATAAATTAAAGGTTCCTTAAACAAAACAAAAACTTTAAATTAAGAAATGTTTTTTAAATGTATCCAAAAACAATTATTTAATTCACACAAGAATAGCCTTTCAAAAAATCTTGCCCAACTCTCTTTACAAAAACTTCATTTAATTTACAGTTTACAGTCTTAAAGTTTCTCCATAAATTAAGCCCGTATTATTTGCAATTAACTGAAGCTGCTTTAATAGATTTCATTTGGCCGCAAAAGTGAAATCCTTAAAATGGCAAAAAACATCTAAAAGTTGAGCATGTCAAGGTCTGAATGCGAATAATGTAAAATGCTTGAAAAACTCAAGTAACAACAGCAGCAATCTCTCTCTCTCTATTTCGCCTAAAACCCATGCGATGACTTACGGCCTGGTTAAATAAGTTAACAACAAGTGCACACACAGTGACACAAATGAGCCGAGTTCAAGTGCAATTGCGGTGTGGGGTCATACATTGCGTATGAGCGATTTCAAATTGAAGCCAGGCTGTAATCGCGGGCAAAAAACATTTAACGAGGCGTGCATTAAGCAAAAACAACAGCGGCCATTAAGGCAACAGAAACAACAACATGGCCAGGCCATTAAAAAATATTAAATGTAATATTTCAGAGGGCTTTTCAAGCTGAACAAAAAAAGAAACAACAACAATTACAGCAGAATTTGAACCTACACAAAAAAAGGCAACCACAAAAGCAACGCGTCATCTGCATAACGCATGGCTTACTAAGCAGTTAAATTTTTGTGTGTTTTATTTTCTTTTTTTTTGTTTATATGAAGATGCTTTTTTCAGTTTTAACTATGCCTCTCATTATATAATTCTTCCTATTATTTCTCTTTTTCTTTTCCTTTTTTGGTGTTCTCTTTGCTTGAATTTCTGACATAATTTTAAGCATTTTCCTTACGTTTTCTCAAAACAAAATTATATATTTAAGCAAAATAATTTGGGGTTTCAACTTGGACTTGTCAGTTCAGTAAACTTTTATTTGGAAATTTGTATTTGGCCATGCATGAAAAATCTCTTAATGATGGCATTAGATGCTTGTGCCAGTAATTTTAGAGCAATTACCTCCAAAATTAAATAGTTTAAATATATACTTAAGCGGAGATGTGAGTGAAGTTGGCTTTTTCGCTTGTTTATTTCAATTGAAAGTGGGTTTGGGGAAGAGAAGAGGAATATATTTCCTTTCTTTCGTTTCTTAAAAATTGCAATTAAAATATGTACTATTTTAATAATTTAAAAAACAAATATTTACTAAATACACAAGCTCATTCTATGTATTCATTCAACTTTTTTCCATTCTTCTGATGACTTTATTTCCCTTTAATTAACGGACTACCTCAACCTTGACTGTTTTGCTCATTAACAAAGCTCACATAAAGTTCTAATTGAAAGAACAAAACTGAACACACAGCCAGAATATCCCCTTAATTACCTAAATAAATATTTGATTGAAATAAAACCCAGATATATACATACAAAACCGAGCTCATAAAGCGATTTAAGACAGGAAATTCATGGAGTGTCTGAGCCGCGATTAATTTGAATACCTCTTGTGCATTGTTGGGTTACCTGAAAACTGCCCCAGATTGTGATAAATGAGCAGATCGAATGCCAAGTGTGGCAACCAGTTTGCAGAAGACCGGATTTTGGCTTTGGCTTCTGTGAATTTTTCTACTCCTCCTTCTTGTTTTTTTTTTCTGTTTTATTTTCCTTTTTTTTTAAGAGGTTTGTGTAATGTGCAACAATTTCTCAAGGTTGCCGCAACGATGACGATGCGCTCATGCATACAAATTTGTGTTTTTTTCTGTATTTTTTTTTTAGTTTGACTTGCTCTGCCCTGGCTTCGCTTTAAATTTATGACATGAATATGCATAAATGTGTTGCAACGGGGTGTGGCAGCAACACACAGTCAGGCCACTCTGGGTTCTTGGATGGTGCCGGCATTACATGTGTAAGAGAGAAGGGGCTGGGGATCTATCTTCTGGCCAGCATAAAGGCCATTAAACGCCCCTCAACAAACAATTATATGACGACTAGTCTGATGCCACATTAGGCGCTCGACTGTAAACAGCAATTACCGGACTTTTATGCTTCAATTGCCGCACGCACTCCCCGCACTCTTTTGATATCGAAAGGGGGTACAAAATTATATAGAAGCCTGGTTTTTGGACATTTGACATGGCCCTAAAAATGTATTTTTGGGGAATTGTTGGGAAATAAAAAAATTTAAGAGGTTGGTTTGTAATTTTCAGATATAAAAATATTTTAAAAACATTTTAATCATATCCTAATGTTATTTAAAATATTTTTATAATGAATATTCCCTAAATTAAAAGCCTTGCTCAAGCTATTTAAAATATTTTTTTAGTTTTCCAAATTTTTTCAAATGTTTTAACAAATTCTGCTCGAATATCCCTAAAAAAATATCTTTCTAAATATAATTTTAAACCAAAATAATTTTATATAAATTCCCCTCAGTGTACTTACATCACCAACTTCAGCTCTGATGACATCGGCTGCCTTATAGACCTCCTCCTTTTTGGATATATCAACCACATAGCCCTTGCAGTAACCGCCGGCCTCTTCGACAATTTCCACGGTTTCCGCAATACCTAATTAATACAATAATTTCATTACTCAACTCTATTCGATTGCTGCTTCTTCGATTGTCACTCACCCTTCTTGTTGATGTCCCAGATAATGACCTTGGTTCCCATCTTGCCCAATCGCTCGGCCAGCAGGCGACCCAGTCCATTGCCTCCGCCGGTGATCAAGGCGATGTCTGTGTTGAGTTCCTTTTCGGGATAGCCAAAGGCAATGTAATACAGATCCTGAAAAAGAAGAGAGAAAATTGAATTTAATTAGGACGAGGTTCTATATAATTACAAAAAAAAGGAAGAGTTCATTAAATATCAATTTGGCAAAAAGGGTTACTGGAGATAGCATAATAATATTATATTTTGTTTGGAGGTGGATTTGTATAGTCTTTATGGTTTTTGTTTATATAATCATATGCCAAACTTTCTTATGGGCTTTTGAAATCTTAAAAATATTCTTAGAAATGTTCAAAATGCTTGTAATTCAAATTCCCTACACATATTAATACATAAATATACCTTAAATTATTATTTACAAAAATCTGGGAGAGTTTAAACTGGATTTTATCTCAAGCCGAATCTACTAAAAACATTTGTAAATATTCTAAAAAAAAAATGATATGCTAATCAACCAATTCTCATAAATAAAATCATAAAATTTCTTCGCTTTTTTCCCCCCAACTCAGAGCTATGCAAATAAGTTCGTTGCTCAAGTCTTTTGTTTTCGTTTCGTTCATTTCCTATGGACACAAACTGAACCGAGTCACGCGTATGCAAATAGCAAATATAGAGACAAATTCAAAGTTTACACAATGCTGAAGAGGAAGCGCTGGCAAAGTGTAAAATTGCAAACAAAACTATTGAGTCTGTGTTTTGGTTGGCATCTGCGTGTTAATAGACCGCAATTTGCCGCCTCTTCAAAGTAACCATCGCAGAGTGGGTGAGGTGTGGTGTGTAGTTCAACCTCAATTGCCCCCACAATTAATCGATATATATATACTGATATATATGTGGGTTTTTGGTTATTCGCAAACACTCTTTTTATGTATTTTTTGTTGTGTGCCCGTTTAGTGTCAAAAAGCTGTCAAAATTTATGACTATCACGCCTCCTCCCCGGCTTTGTTGTTAAAATTAAAATAAAAATAAAAATATACACGCGAAAGGTAAAAACGCAAAACAAAAGACTCTGGCAGCGAACTTAGTATATTTAACATGCCGCCGCACAGTAGCACTTTCTGTTGCACGCGGGGGCATCCCATAAATTTTCATGCCACACGCGAACCACCAGCTTAGGGCACCTGGTCGCTTTTGCACCTGATATGAAGAGGCAGAGGATGTGGAGGGGGTATGGAAGGAGGTATGGGAATCGGGAGCGGAAGCCAGGTCTCTCTGAGCCCGGTCCGGCAAGCGTGTCCAATTATTTTGACATTAACAATGAGTATGTCGCAACTTTGTGTCTTCTTATGCACTTTGCCGAGGGTGGTCTTATTTTTTGGTATATATTTTTTAAGAAGTTGTAGGTAAAACATTAATATTATATATTATTCTTTTCAAGAATCCAAAGATTTTGACTTCTGAGGACTAGAAGTTACTTCTAAAATTGATTTCTTACTAGTAAACTTTATGTATAATCGGATCATATCAATTACAAGTTCTTATTTATTTATTTGTGCTTACAGTTACATAAAAAAATGTATTTAACCAGTGCTTAGCTACTTTTAATATCTCAAGTTCAGAAAGAGTATTTAACCAGCGGTTTCCCCGCATAATCTTCCACCCCATTTCTCTTTTTTGCAAACATTTTCCTCTCGCTCCGTTAAAATTGTATCATAAATTATACGAAAAATTAATCAAAGGAAACTTGTTGCCGGTCGTTGGGTATCTTTTGGGGGAAGGTTGATTGTTGACAGCCACAATGATGATGAGATGATGAGTGGCTCCATTTGGCCCTTTATTTCCCGGCAGCTCGTTGACAGACATTTTGTCACATAATTTAACATGCAATGCTCATGCTCTTTTCTCAGCTCAATTCAAATAACAAGGACAGGAAGCGAGCAATTATAATTTATACATAATATAATCATCATAATCAACATAATAAGAGCAGCAGCAGCAGCAGCAGCAGCAGCAGTGATTTCTTTTCATGCTGCGAGCATGACATATAAAACGGCAGAAATATGCAAATTGATATCAAAGAGAAAGATTTGCCGCAAGATCACGGAAACTTTTCGACGACAGCGACGACTTTTTGTTCGCTCAAATGTAAATTTTGCAGACACGTTTTTTATAAAGTTTTAGCCATGTCATTTTGGAGAATTCTGCTTGAATTTTTCCTCAGTCACCGAAAAACCAATAAAACCTGCCTAGTCAGCATTCATTCACTCGGTTTATTGGTCTCCCAGCCAGGTCTGCTGCCTGTCCTCGTCTATCTTCTTATTTTTCTGGTGATTGTCAAGGTCCAACGCATTGACCTTTGTAAAGTTACGGAAAGCCATCAAATCGGATTTGATTTTAAGATGCACTGATTTTAATTTGATTGACTGATGGAAAATTTTTTAAGGTCTTTGCCAGCGTTGGGGAATGATTAATGGAGGATTTTTGGAACCAGATATGGGTCTGTGATAAGGTGGAAAATCAGTAAATCGGAAAGGCTAATTATGTATGCAATAATTTGATAATTACAAGCATGGAAAAATTATTTAAAGGCCAAGGTTGCTTTTGGTTTCATATTTTTACATAATTCTTGAAAGTTTTCCATTAGAGCAAGTGTTAAACATAAGGTTAAATATATTTTAAATATCAAGGTTTATGTTTTCCACATTTCAAAAATTCTTTACATCTTTACTTAATAATTTGTATTTATTACAACTCAATTTAAAATATATTTCTCTTTTAACTAAATTATTTCCCAAGCTTTAAATATTTACCATTTATTTTCTGTCTTCTGTTTACCTTTCCTTCATTAGCATTTGCATTAAAAAAAAAAGAACCCCGGCGGCATTCAATTGCCACAAGTTGCTGAAATCACTAAACTGTGCTTAGCTCATTAGAGTTGTTTAAACATTAATTAACATGCATCTTCAAAACTCCACTCATTAGCCACCACAACGTGTGCGGAATTCTCCCCTCTTTTATTTTGGTGGAATTGCGAAAAAATCTTGCCTAAGTTATATGCAAACTTTTAAAAATGCCAAATGATCGCTGATCCCTGGAGTCTCCTCCTCGCGTTGATCTTAGACTTCTAAAGCCGCCAAAAGCCGGCAAGGGGGAATGGGAAATTCCCATCATCTTGGCCAGTAATCAAATGTTTGCAGACAAAAGCCAAATGGCCAAACTAGTTTCTCTCTCTCTCTCTCTAGCTGGCTCTCTGTTAGTAGCGTTTCCAAGAGAATTGCGAAAAAATATCAACAACCTGAAGTCGCCGCTGCCGCCTCGTTAATGTGGTTCTAGAGCCGGCCGAAAGTGAAACCAAATACCAAAAACCACCGGCCAACTGCCAATTGCCCAACCCCACAAAAAAGCTTGATATACCGCTCACACACACCTGCCTTCCCAAAATTGGCTTCAATTTTCGGCCACTTTATGAGCGGCGCGGAAAACTGCTCAAATGCTCAAGCTTCGAGTGTATTTTCTTGAGTGGAAAACGCAAAAAACAAAAGACTTAAGGCACGAACTTGCCACAAAACATTGTAAACGCCGCGCAGCGGTGTTGCAATCCACAAACACTTGGCAGACGCCGACAGTTACCGCTTCTACACCCCTGGATACCTGTAAGGTATCACCACTCTGAGTGACCTTCTTTAAAACTAGACACAAAACACCGACAGTTGCATTAAAAATAAAATGTAAAAAGCAAAAGCAAGACGGATTGCTGAGTTTATATATACTCTAAGTTAAATAAAATAAATATATTCTTAATAATAATGGATATTGTATCAGTTTTTCTAGATTTTTAGTTAGTTTTCTTTATTATTCAATTTTTTAAGAGTTGATTTAAATAATAAATTCATTTGGGAAGGCCTCAACATGTTTTCAAAATAAGTATATTTTCTTTTTAATATTTTAAAGCAGAAGAAAACATTTAAAAGTAACAAAATAAATTTTATTTAAGCAAACAAATAATAAAAAATAAATGTAATAAATAAATTGAATTTATTAATAACTTTTTAATAATTTTTTATTACATTTTTGTTAATAAACTGTTTTTCTAAATCAAAAATTCCTCTGAAAAAAGGCCATAAAATTGTATTAAGGTTTAACAAGCATAAATATATGCTAGAAAACTCAACAGAAATTTATTTTCATCATACATAAGATACAAAATAATTAAACATTTAAAATTTTCCTATACTTCTAGCTCAAACCTCATCATAAATCCCCTAATCCCGTTGGAAAGGGTACATCGACATCTCAAAATATAATAATAAACCTGAAATTCAATCCCGCCGACAACAAATGCAGCAGCAAATAACAACAAAAACACATCAACGCAGCAACTATTAGGCTGCAGCTTGGCGCATTGCAATTGAATCAAGTCTCCTACACTTGAAAGTTTTTTATTTTTATTTATTTGTTTTTTGTTAAGCTGCCTGGCCAATTGGCCAATGATTTTGCACTTTAAGTCTTGTTTGCTTTTGACGGGGCTTCTCTTTGTATTTTATTTTTTTCTGAATTTTTATTGCAGTCGAATAGCGGCGGGTGGCTTGGCCTTCAAGTGGCAATTTTCATTTATAGATCTGTGAGGAAATTAGCATCACAATATCGCGCAGTGTATTAGCGTTGCCATAAATCGCACAATCGAGTTCTATATCTCGTCTAGAGCTTGAGTGTCTCTGAGTGGTAATTTGTCAGCCGGATATTTGCCAAGATATTGTACGACTTCGAGTACAACTGCAGCGGATATGTCGAGTGATTAGCCTGAAGTCTGTTTCTCTCTTGAGTCTGCTGTGTTTTGATCTTACAGGTGTCATTAATAATTCTGCAAGACTTTGTTTCTAGCTACTGCTAGTGGTACGAATAGAAACAAATTGATATAAATAAAAGCCAGAGGCTTGACACTGACTATAAATGGTAATTACACAGGGGAGCTTGTAGTTTGTTGAAAGGAATATTAATGGAGGTTTTTGTGCTATTAATTATATATATAGAGAAATATAAAAAGTAGTAAAAATAATAGCAATAAAATATTAAGAAATACTAAAGTTTTATTTAGGTTGCTTCATAAATTGTTGAATTATTTACTTCGATTTTTAAATACTAAGAAGATTGCCTAAACAAATAATTAAAAATATTCTAGTTAACTATTTCTATTTTATATTTAAATTATGTTTAGTTTAAAAGCTTTTTTAAAAGAGTTTTAGAGTATTTTAGGATATCTTTTTATTTCTTTCAAAAATTATGGTAAAACTTCTCATTTATTTTCTTTATTTCCAAAACTCTTAGACTTGAGTTTAAAAATAACCAGAAAACACTTAATACTCTGGGATTTTCCTTACCAATTTATTAACACACACAAAAAAGATTGATTATTTACCCATTCATTTTAATGAAACTTTGCGGTCTTTAAGGAATTTTTTGAGCCGCCTTTAAGTGTTTGTTCGAGGCACACATTGACTGCGGTTTATGTTTGCTTTTTGTACATTGATGTACGATGTGCCAGACAGTTAGATAGTTTATTTTTTTTTTTTTAGCTTTGTGGATATATTATATGGCCATTGACGGGGCACACCCGCCCCGTAACCCATTTTTCAGGCGCTCACACACACGGACAGCGCTGTAAATCAGTCAAAAAGCACAAGGCCGGCCGCGTGCGGGTTATGAACCTGCAACCTGAACCGGCTCTCTAAGCCAACTCAGCCGGCTTATGTGAGTTTGCCAAGAGCCAAGAGGTAAGGTAACCCATCCAGTAGTTACCAGAGTTATTGTTTTTTTTTTTTTGTGGGCCCCGCAAACACTTTCAATTTCAATTGCGTTTGCAACGCACACTCGCAGACACGGAGACCAAAAGGCAGCCGAATGCCCGCGAAATTGCGGTTGTAGTTGCCTCCAAAGAAAAGTGTGTGTTTGTGTCGATGGTGTGTGGTGTGTGGCTCTTGCGGCTAGTGGCTAATAAAAACAGGCTCTCCAAGTGGCCAGCAGGCAGCAGCAGCAGCAGCCGGCAAAATGCAAAAAGTTGAACTAGGTCAACAAGCCAAACGCAGCCGCGCAGCCGTTGACAGCGACAGCGGCAGCAGTAACTCAGCTGAATTGGCTCATTACATGCCCCAGGCACTCGGAAAAATATGCGATCGAAATTAACATAATATTTGTAAAATTCTTAGAAATATATAAACAAGAAAAGAAATGGGCATATTTAAATAATTGTAATTTTTAAAGGAGAATGAGAACATAGTTTGAAGTGGCTCAACGTCCTAGAGATATTCAAATAAATATTTGTAAAATAGAATATTTTATAATATTACATTTTATTATAAAATATTCTTTTTAATACATAGAAAATCATAAATTAAAATCTAAAGAAATACATATTTTAATAACACGATTTTTGAAGAATTTACATGTAGTAATATAGTCTTATTCTAAGGCTTACAAAACTTTCAGAAATTTTAGGGTCAGTTTTATGGAATATTTATTATTTTTCAATTCAAATACTTGTCTAATTTCTTTCAGTTTCCAACCAGGCATAAAGGCATTCGTTGTAGGTTATTAGCTTAGGTAGTTAAATCTACGCACGGGTTACTTTGTAATTTCAAAAGCATTGCATTACAGGTTTTAAGAATTTACTTTCGAAACGCATTCAATTGATAGCTTAAAAATTGAAATTAATAATGTTATTATGAATTAATATGAGAAATGCAATTTAGATTACAACAAAAAGCTTTCTTATCTTATCCACTAAAATTTCTATGTTGGGGATTATACAAATTTGAATATATAATTATCTTCTTTTACCATAACTTTTTTAACAAGAAAATGTTTATATTATTTTCTTTTAATAAGAATATTTACTTCTAACATTTCCACATTACAATCATCGGCAGTCAAAGCATTTAAATAAAAATATTATTAATATTTAATAAATGAATTATTATTAATTACTATTTAATCATTTAAATCTAAACTTTAAGAAAAAGTAACACAAGATACTTTCACGGAAATGCCTCAATATTTTCCTATTCCCCCAAGTTTGTTGCCTAAGTCTTTTGTTTGACTTTTGCTCAGCAAATGCATTGACATAAATCCAAGTCTAATAATGCCTTGTTGATCGATGAGCCGCCCGATTGCCTATTCAATTACAACAATCAGTGAACAATTTAAACATCAGCGAGTGAAGCGTTGAGAGGCATCAGAATCGTCATCAAGTTGGCTTACAAAATCCGTGAATTTACATGCAAACTCAGTGGGTTTTCTGAGTAATCTGAGTGGGCACTCGGCATGCAAATGTCATTTATTTTATTTTTTTTTTATTTTTGTAGCGTCTCTATTTAATTTTGTTGTATATATTTTTTGTTACTCCCATGCAGCCCCTGCATAATGATGACGAATGCCAAGGGATATGGCCATCGTGCCACACATATTTCACGATCATATCTCGGCGTCTATAGTTTTTTTTTATATATATATTGCGGTAAAGTGAAAATATAATTGCCACAAAAAGAGAGAGAGAGACCCCTTATGCAATACAATATAAATTGAAATTTCTTTCATTTTTTGTGGCTATTTTAAAAAGCACTTGGCCTGTCAATGTGTCAGCCTGAACTCGATCCCCTGTATAATTTTGTTTTCCCCAGAGATCTCTATGGAGCCCATTTGCAGGGCCTATAATGACCTTGTCTCGTATATTAATAAAGAAATAAATTGTCAAAGCCTGCAATCTCATTCAGCTGTGTGTGTGTAAAATGCAATTAATTAACGCTGCTGGCCGCGTGACTTAGGTAAAGTGTATTTATCGGCTTGCCGGCTCCTAAAGTAATTAGCATTTCAAATTGAGTTTGATTGGTGGTGTTTTTTTTTTATTATTTTTTATTAACCATAATTACCGGCAGTGCAAAATTTATTGGCCTCGCAGCTTTTGTTTACAAGAAATCTGCTTCTAAGTTAATGAATTTTCAAGATAAAACCTATAATTGATACTATGTTATATTATAATTAAACCTATTTTTGTGGCTCTGATATAAAGTTCAACATCTTAATATTCAATTGACTTTTAACTGGTTTGTGCGCACTCGTTTAATTCGCAAATCAAAATAAATTATCTCGAGTTCACAGGCTGGTTTTACATCATCAGCCGGAGAGAGAGAGAGATGTGGTGATACCATCTCGAAACTTGTCCCAGGTTGATCTTAATGCCTTAAATCTCTTTCACGGTTCCAATTAAACGCCACACGTGCTGCCATGCCATTGGCAGTGCCCATTACCTTTGGCCATTATTTATCGGGCATCCTTTTGGCAGCTAATTAAATCGGTTAATTGCCATCGTTCGTTATCTGTTGGCTGAAATCTCGGAGCTCTGAAAGCAAATTCTCAGTGCGATTCTCATTGACACATTTCTCGGCCTGAAGGTTCCGAGGGTTAAAATTGACTTGGCCAAATCTCACACAATGCCGCTAATCAGCCAAAGTCAAAATAAAAGCGAAGGTGAATTATTCTTTTGCGAGTGAAGGTAGCCAATTCGGACATCGTTTAACCATTTTTATTATTAATCTGTTGTAAACAAAAGTGAGAAGGTCTCAGTCGGTCTCACTTGGAGACAAACGAATGAGTTTTTGATATTATTGTTGTTGCATTCGGAAATTAGCAGTGTTTTGTTTATGGGCATTTTTTTATTTGCTGATAATTAAAATTCAAGCAAAATTTGAACTTTGCTTTAATTAAAATAAAGCATTCGGAAGGTTTATGACTTGATTTTGATTATACTACTTGGCAAGGTTTTAATTGCATGTCGGACAGGGAGGTTCTTTTTTAAGGGTATTTTTTTTTTGGAGAAGTGTTAAATTGTAAAATATATATATTTTTATAATTTATTATTCAGGGTTAACTATATTTGTATATATTAAAATTGTATGAATTATTAAATAAAATTTGAATTATTGTAGAAACTTTATCTAACTTTACGTAAAATATAACAAATTTATTCTCTCCCTTTACTTATTTATTACTTATTATTATTTACTTATATTGTAACAAAGCAAATCATCTTTTTTTAAAGAAAATCTATTCTATCTTTTCTACTTCCTAATATTGTTATTTTACATTTTCTTGAATACAAACTCACCTGCAGAATGTATCCAATGCAGCAGATTATAAACCAGGCCACATCCGCAAAGGCATCCCAGATATTCCAGAGGGTTTGGCCCCAACCGTCGGCTGCTGGCGGAGTTGCTGGCTCCTGGGCAGCGATCACTCCATTGCCATTGGTCAGAGCATGACCATTGGCGGCGGGCAGGTTGTTATTGTTCTTCTCCATGATTTTGTTTTTAGCACAGATTTTCAAGCACTTCTTATGGCTGCTTCTTATTTAATACAATTTTTTAAGGTGTAGTTAGATCACACTTTCCTAAAGGCACAAGTTATAGATTTAATTAGCTTTCTTTTTATGTAATTTTTCGTAATTTTTATTGTGGTAATTTTATGCAAGTTTGCCGTTAATTAAAAGGCGAAAGAAAACACAACCGCAAGCAGCAGCAACAACAGACCCCGCGATATATCTGTGAGTGATTTGGAGTTTTTTTTTGCTGTGTTTTTGTTATTTTTTGTGTTATGTTTTTTGGGATATTCGGATTTTTGGATTTTTGGTTTTTGATTTTTCCGCACTGCACGTCCGCTCTCGTGAGCGTAGCAAACGAATTTGAACGTTGTGGGCTCGAAAGGAATGAATTTCGACTTCTTATTTTGGCGCGCTATTGGATATAGCCGACGTCGACCGAGACTGCGGCGCCGAGACAGCGACGTCGTCGTCGCCGAAGCTTGATTTTGTGACGTCACCGAGCTTCAGCCACAGCTTCGGCTTGACTTTTTTTCCCCCCTCGGCTTTTCATGTATATTTTTTGTTGTTGTTTTTTTTTGTGTTTATTATTATTTCTGTTTTGCTCATTTCTCGTTCTTATGTTGCTTTCGACTGCGCTTTGCTATTAATTTATCTCATTTCTGTGGCTTGTGTAATTTTTCTGACGCTCTTTTCCCTGTTGTTTCCCTAATTGCTTAAAATTAATTGAGATTTATGCTGCCTGCAGTTGGGTGTTAATTACTAGGTGCATTAGAAGGACGTCTCATTAAGTTTATGGATTAATAAAAGGTTTTTTAACATCTTAGTGCCTGAATTTCTTCAGGAGAAATAAAGTTTTGAGTTGAAAAAAAGGTCTTAACAAATTATTTGGCTAGTTTTTATTTATATCAAAATATATTTAAAATAAAATACTTTTGAGGAACAGCCAGCTGTGTTTAAGTGTTTTTTAATTGGGAAAATCCAAGGAAAATGTTTGTTAAAGACAGCTTTTCAGTGGGAAATTGAAATGGTAATTACTAAATGAATAATTTATACTGCCCTGATAACTAATGCTCGTGTCTGTAAATTATGTAACTAATTAATGCAACTAACAGGTATTATTATATTATATAAATTTATAAGGCAGAAAATTAAGTTTAGATTTTCCATGAATTACCCGGCATCTTGGCGTTCAGTATAAAAAATTCGGAGGTTTAATTTTTGTCTAAATTCCATAATTTTTAGCTTCCAAAAAGCCCTTTGGGATGTATTGATGTCTGGTAGCTGTTCAATTCCTCCTGAAATGTGGTTGAATACCAGCAGCCAGGCTTGCGGGTTTTTCCAATCCTTTGTGGTGAAGGAAAGCGCTCCATATCCTTGGGAGAGTATTGCTCCAAGGCAGTTTTCCAAGCGTGGACATACGGCCAGGTTTTCTCGTCTATTTCCACATGGTAGATAGCATTTAAGATATCCAAATCCCACTTCATTGGAGATTCTCCTTTTATAAATACTGTGGGTTCTGGAATACTTTTGAAGCTGTCCTCGCTAAAGCTGCTCCTCCCGCTACTGCTGATGCTGCTTGAATCCGATAAACTCAAGTCGTAAAAGGAGTCATTATCCTCGGTATCTTCCAAATTTAATAACTCATCCTGATCCTGTGCCAGCGCTTCAGTGCTCTTCAGCTTATGGTCAAGGGCTTCGGATACACTACCCTCCAGTTGAGCCATCTTTGATTTCAAATAACTCTCCAGTTGTGCCAGACCCTTGGAAGAACTTATATCCACAAAGGCGTCCAGAAACTCCCAGTATTCCCGCCATTCCAGTTGCTCCTCGCGAGCCAACTGGCGACCTACCACCTCCAGACCCTTACCAATATTCGAGTTCTTGATGTGACGTTCTCGGAAGTTGTCATTCAGGGTGTACATCGATAGCTCCTGGGTTAGGTCTTGCAACAGGTAATCTTCGGTGTTCAATGTAGATGGCAACTCCTCTGAGTCTAGGCTAAACAGCTTTCTGGGAGACATTTGCATCGAACTTGACCTACTGTGCATCATCTTCACCGGCAAAGTGAAGGGCAAGGTGGCCAAGGGAGACATTGAATTACTGCCCAAGCGTGGTGGAGTCTTCCAGCGACGATGGAACTTCAAGGCCTGATCTCGGGACATGGGTCCTGCCAGGGCACTAATTGTCAACTTGACCCTGAGACGCGTGCTTTCTTTCTTCAGCAAGTTCGGTGGCTCTTTGGGGGAGTAAGGTTGACCCACTTCTGGGGGCACTTCATTGGTCTCAGATCTCAGTACGGGCACGTAATATGGTTCACCCAAGAGAAGCTCAAGCTTCTTAAGAGTTTCTCGAGAGACCTGTTCATTCCGCTGGCAGATTATGTCCCTGGGCTCCTTACCCTCACGATTTAGCAGCGACTTGCACTGCAGATAACCGATGAGGACCTCGACCACATCCACATGGCCATTCTTTGCAGCGAAATGGAGGGGCGTCTCGCCACGTGACTTGTCCGGCATATTGAGATACAAATCCAGCAGATTTTTGCTAAGATCAATGTACATTTCAGGGCCACCCTTCTTATCAGCATAAAGTTCGCCAAAGGCTGGATCCGCAATGGTCTCTAGAAGAAACTCGGCAATGCTGGGTTGATTTAACTGGGCACAGATGTGCATGGCATTGTAGCGAGGACCCTCTTTGAGGCTAGTTGGGGTGTCGCCGCTGCTTATAAGGTAGCGAGGATTCTCCCACACAATCCGCCTGACCAGTTCCAGATTTCCTGCCTCAATTTGTTTGCGGAACTCTTGAAGCTCTTGCTTGGTGGGGGAGTGGAAGAAAGAACGCTCGCTGGTGACTGGAGGTAGTTCCTGCTGGTGTTCCTGCTGCTTCTCTTGCTCCTTGCGACTCTCGAAACCGAATTGGATGTAGTTCTGGGCCTGCTCTCGACTGGGAAACTCTCGAAGACGTGCCTCCTTGTGTCTACGCAGGACATCCAGTGCCTGGGATTTCTCCATGAAGATCAAGCTTTGGTGATTAACGTTGGTGTTGCCTGAAGAATTGGAATCGTCTGTTCTTGGAAACTCCGGTTCCGGTATATAAACCGCAAAGTATGACATATTTTTCACCAAAAACCTTATTTTTCAGAAATTCACACTTTTTACTATAATTTAAATTTGAAAAAAATAATAAGATTAATTACTTTCGGTTTCAAAAGAATTATTATTATTTGAATAATTTTTTTTTTTTGTATTTTTAAAAATTAAATACGGTATTAAATATTAATTTTTAAACCGAGTTAATATTATAAAAATAATATACTAAGTTTTAAGTTAATTTTAAATAATGTAATAAATTTTCTGTTTTTATAAACCTATAATACCAAATTTTATATTTAATTTTTTACAGAATTATACTGTTTACATCGCACTATTAGCATCAATCTTCATTATAAACAAAAAGCGACCTTCACCAACTTGTAACACTTGTTCACTTTCCCCCAAAATCCCTTGATATATTTTATTTTTTAATCAAAAGAAAGTCGACTGCTCATAAATTTGTTTACAAGCCACTCTATTTTTTTCTTTTTGGTTAAATTTTTATCCTCTTTTCCTTATTGTCAACAACACAATGCACTTTGTACTCTTTTCTGCTCATCCTTTGCCCTTTTCTCTCACTCACTCCGCCAGAAAAAAAAAAAACAAAAGAGAAAAAAATCAATTTTGGTGTTTGCGGCTTTCGTATTAAAAAACAGGTTATGTTAAGCGAACGAATGGATTATTGGCTTGGCTTGGCGATTCTTAACGATTTCGTCACATCTTTGGATTGCATAATAAGTAAATTTTTTAGTTATTTGATTTGATGTTGATATCGTTTGTTTTGTATCCGTGCGTTATTTAGTTTTTTTTTTTCATCGATTTGCATTTTTAACAAGAACCTCAGCTTTGGGTCAAAAAACTGATAAAAATGTTTAAGGCCATTTGTGACCGCAGCGCATGTGGCTACAAACAACAACAAAAACTCTAGAATTTCACCACAAATATCTTGCTTTTTCTTCTTTCACTTTCTATGACGAAATTATGGCACACAGAATATAATTGCAATTTCACTTTACACCGTATTCCAGTTTACCGATATTTTATGGAGATGTTTTTCGCTTAGCCGGCATATCTCCTTATCTCGATTAATTACCAAAATATGCAAATTGATTTTACTGGATTATCAAGCATTCTTTTTTATTGTGTCTGGTTCGTTGTTTTTCGGTTATTTATATTTTTGCGACTGCTTTTCGCCTTAGCTTCGTTTCCCTTTTCGTGACATTTTGTTTGACATTTGTGACGCAGGCGCAGTGGGTGTGAAGAAGGGGGATGCAGGGAAGGAGCAGAAACAGGCGTCAGAGTCAGCTGTTACCGTTGCTTGGCGAGAGAGTCGATGGAGAGAGAGCGAAGAGACTGAGAATGACAGGTGCAAGACAGCTGCATATTAAGAACAGCTGTTGTATAGAGTTGTCAACTATTTTTTATAATTAAAAATATTGGGAGATGGGAATCAGGTAATCATTTAAATTTAGACAAAAATAATATATAACAAAACTATTTCTATTCTTTTAAATATATTGAAAAAAAAAAAATAAAAGAGGATTTTTGGATAATATAAAATATAACTCATTGTAAGGATTAAACAAGTCAAATTTAAAAATATAATCTTAACAAAAAATATTATAAATATTTATAGAAAAAAAATTTAAACCAATATTTTTATTAACTAATAATTTGAATAGGAACAAAAATTAAGGGAGGTCCTGTATATGTCTTTAAAATACTCTATTAAAAATACTTATATTCTAGTTATAATATTTTAATAAATAATATTTCATTTTGCAAAAAATAAATTTTAAAATACCCATAAATTTACCTAAGTATTTATAAATAAATAAATACCCATATCCAACCCATTATCGAAATCCCAAAGTTGTTTTTATTTTTAAAAACACATCATCTAATGATTCATTTCCCTCTTTCAAGAAACAGGCGCCACACAATTTATCGCTCGCCAATTTCCGCAATAATTATAAAAATAGCATAATAACATTCGAAATTCTACACGAATTAGTTCTAAGCCATAAAAATCGAGCCAAAAACCGCTGATTGTGGCGCATGTTGAGAGCGTGGTTATTTCCTTTTTCGAGAATTTAACCTCGTGCCCTGTTGACCGAATGCTGAACTCTGGCCAATACAGAGTCCGAACCCGAGTCTGAGCCCGAGCCCAAGTCCGAGTCCGAGTCGGAGTCGGAGTCCAAGCCCGTGTCCAAGTCGGAGATTGGCCAAAAATAAAAACCAGACAATCGCAAATGAATCAACCGGCGATAGCCTTCGTTGAAAAACCCGTTAGAACCAGCACAAAGGTGAGTCTAGAGATAATGCCTAATGCGCGCCGCCAATCTGAACGTTAACCTATTTCACTTCCTATCAGTGAATTCTCGTTTTAACTAACATCTGACTTCCGGAACACCAGCCGAAACCGAACGTGTTTTATGCCATGTGTGTTTACCCGATGACTTGAGCATTATATGTTGGATATTATTATTATTTCCTAAAAGACACCGTTACCGGTGCCGATGGTGATGGTGATGATGATGATGGCCCATTTGATTAGAACTGCCTAGACATTCGGCGTTTATTAATTATGATTTATTTGAACAACAATAAAGGAGCTGATGGTAATTATTGGCGAATGTTCCAAGGTCACCGATCGGTGGGCTACTGTTTTGTATCTTTTAGGAATCTCATTTGCGATGTGCTAATTGGATATTGAATTGAACAGCCTTTTTTCTTCGTTATTTCTTGGTTATTTTTTGTATTTATTTTGCGATTTTGAAACGCTCGGGCGGATTCTCGTTAAGAATAACGTGTTTTTATTTAAGTGGAATTGCGTTGTGGAGTTATTATTATTATTTGCGATTTGTGATTCTAATAAGTTCTGGTTTTATTGTTTGTGGAACAAATTTTCGTCTGCTTGGTTGGTTTGTTATGATTATGGTGCTGGGCTTTTTGTATGATATTTTTAAAGATTGTGTCAGACAGGTTGATTTTGGTGGGAATTCCTTGGGAAATTGATTCTTTAATTTACAATTATTATAAACCGAAGAAATAGTTAAAAAAAAAGATTGTGAAATAATTCCAAATTTAATTTTTACTGAATTAATTATAGAAAAAGTTCAATTTCTATATTTAGTTTTAGTAAATCCAAAATAAAATCTTGGTAAAAAATTTTAAGAAGAAATTATATTAAAAAAATTGTCATATCCACTATTTAAAAAACCAATAAATTCAATGAATAACTAGAATTATAAATCTCAAAAATCCGTTTTGGTTACCAAGTAAAAATATGTTAATTAAAATTCTATTCTTCTTTCTTTCCCTAAACTTAGTGGAGTAATTCTGACTCAGCGAAAAAGAAATCGAAAATATATTTAAGAAACCAGATGATACCCTTATTCTTTAACCAAAAATCATAATTGCTTCTCCTCACAAAGCCTTAGGTTTTGTAAACCTGACCAACAACTTCCGACTTCTTCATAGAGCCGCATTCCCAAAGCCCATAGACAAAAAAAAATCGAAAAAAAGACAAACAGAAACACTAAATCTTATGTGTGAAGCCCGAAATGGCATTGAATTTTGATTATATTGTTTCTGGCTTTGATTTCAATTAACATAAATGCTCTAAAGTCTAATCGACGAACATCTGTCAGCATTTGTTGTAAGACTACAAATGTTGTAAGAAAATCGTTTGATCATTATCACCGACCTGAAGATTTCTTGCTTAAATATAAGGAAAATCTAGGCCAACGAAGGCGGCTTAAAATATCTATAAATTTCACCCAAAAACAGACAAGTTAGCCTTAGCAAAAATGTATCTTAAAATAAATCATAAGTAAAAAGGCCAAACAACTGACAATTTTTGGCTGTAGTTTATATTTTTTTTTTTATTATTTTTGGGTTGGAGAAGGTCGGAGTCGGTCTTTGGAGTCGTTAGCTTCACGAGAGCAGCCTCTAAAAAAACAAAGCCACTCAAAATCCAGCTCCTGAAGTGCACACGTTCGAATTAAATGGTTTGTTATAAGTTTGGATAGTTTGACTGCCGGCTTTTATGGTTTCTTTTTTTTTATGGCCATTGTTTTCCAGAAACTCGTTTCGTTCTACAGTCTAGACATAAAGCCCGCTTCACTAGTTTGAGTTTACCCTTTCACCGCAAAAAAAAAAATAAAGCAGAAAATAGAACACTCTCGATCGGACTTTGGTTGCGATTCTGTCTGTTTATCTGTTTGATTACCACAAGGTCTTCCTACGATCAGGCTTGATTGCCTTCTTAACTGTTTATTTTTTTGGCTGCTTGGCTCCCCACATTTGTTTGTTTCAAATTTTAGCACAACTTGCGGGAGTCATTTGAGCAAGTCAAGGTCGTCGTCTTCTCAGATAAATGTCAGTTTTAACAAGTTAGGATATGATGATGATTCTGCGAGCAAATAGAATGCAAATTATTATATAATAAGAGGAGGAGGAGGACAGATGTCAAGAAGATTCAAGGATGATCTAAACAAATGGACATTTGTTCCTAAGCTATGTTTATATATGGTTTTACACAAATCAGCATGTGCTTTATCTTATATGCCTTCAATATGCTTAATTTTTATTTTATTTTCAAGCTTAATAAACAATTATTTACTAGTGTATCCAAGTAACTTGTATTTATTTTTATATTTTATTTAATTACTTCTCTGTCTTAACCTTTATTTCTTATTTTAACTAAAGACTTTAATTTATTAGCATTTTTCTACGTGACTTCAAATGCATGCCATTTTTTGCATCTATTATTTAAGCCAGAAACCAAAATTATAAACAAGTTGTCTAGAGTCTAGACGACTATTCTTTGAGATGCTTTAAACCTGATATTCTGGCTTTATTCAGCCAAAATGCACACCTGAGTATATTCTAATAATAGAACAAGGTTTCAAATGGATATGGAGTTATAAATATTAAGAAATAGTGAAATATGTATTCTTGCACACAGCTGTATATATTTTCTCATGATTTATATTAAAAAAAAAATTACTGTTACACTTAAAGAGTAAAGATTGCACATGTTTTCCCTCATATATTTAAAAATTAAACATACTTTCCCAAGGAAATTCGACTACCTTGGGAAAAATGAAGGCTACTGAGAGCAGTCCATGCTGAAATGTCATTTATTAGCTATGCAAAGGACTTGCACTTGGCTAGCACTTGAGTAGCATCAAAAGCAATGACCCTTTTGGACTCTCCCTCTCCCTTACCCAGTACAATTTTCCGCTTTTCCGTAAGAGCATATACATATATGACAGCAGGCCAACCAACTGTAAACGTAAACAATATGCACTGCGCAGGACAGCAGTTCTCATTCCGAATCCAAATCCGGAACAGCTGTGCGACTCGTCGAAATCGGGTGAAAGCTTCTTGGGCAAAGTGGAAATGCGGAAAAGCTTCAAGTGAGCAGTCAGTGGATTGCGGCCAATTTGGGCAAGCGGTTTCGCGTTAACACCGTCGAAATTTTCACGAATTTTCCCAGGTTACGTGTCAAGGAGGAAGTCTCTGACTCCGAACGCGTGTGTGAGCCAATTAAAGGCCAAAAAGCTCATCACCAATTGTGCCTGTGGCCCAGTGTCAGGTGTTAAAGTTCTTTTCTGTTACCAAAAGTTACCAAAAAAAAATTAAAGATCAACCAACCCTTGGGCTGAAAATAATGCCAGCCCCTAGCCTACGATTTTGAATCTGGCCAAGTGCCAGAGCTGAAAAGGAAAACCCGCAAAAGCGATATCATCATGTCAAGTGGCAGGTAGGATATATCCATTTTTGTCATATATATACTCATTCTGCCATATCTAGTTAGTTGTTATGACTGATATTTGTTGTGTGTAATCAATAAATTGATTTTTGATTGCCATTAGTGTGTGTGGGTTTTTCCTTTCTTTCTTCAACGATTTTGTTTTTTTTGTTGTCTTCTGTCTGCTTTTGGTTTTTCTTTTTATTTTTCTTTTGATTTCATTTTGTTTTTGTTCTGCCCTTTCTGGCGGCAGCGGCGTCACACTGACTGGCAAGCGTATCGCCTACGGGCTTGCCTTTTGACTCTCGACTTTTGCCTTGGCCCGCAGTGCGTATACTTGATATATGCATGCATGGCAAGCTTTGGAAATTAAATTATAAAAAGGGTTTAGGAAAGGGATTTTATTTTATTTCAAGAAAGAAAAATTAAAAGTAAGAAAGGGTATTTTGTTTGTATTTAAATTTATTTATTTGCATACAATCCCCTTGTGGTATGCGTATACTTGATATGAGTGTTCTGGAAATCTTGTTAAAAACTAACTTGTTATTAAGTTATAGCATAATTATTATGTGGTCATTTTCAACCTTAGTTTGTGCATTCAACACGATTAATTCCACAACCAACAAAAATATGCATTTTATAATGCTTTTAAATTACAAGAAAATATAAAAACTATATTTAGAAAAGTTTCTCTTTAAAGTAAAATGTGTTTAATAATGTTAACAAACATAAAATATTGCATTTATAATAAAATAAATAAATAAAATAATAAACAAAATGTTTCTTAATATTTAAAATAAAACACATATAATATATATTTTTAATAGATACAATCAGTTTTTTATATCCATTATTAAATAATGTAAACAAGTAAAATTAAAGCCTGCTTTTCATTAAATAAAAATCTATTTTCCCCTATTTCCCAGATTTGTCTTGTTTATTAAACATAAAAAACCCCTGTTTAAATTTATTACTTAAACCACTTTTTAATAACACTTTTATATGATGTTTTCTGCTGTACTTCTTTCATGATCACTCTCAATTAAGTTTATGCTTTTCCTGGGAATAACTTAAGTATTCTTTTATTGTAATTATTTCATCATACCCACCAAGTGATTATCTACATTGGGGGTTTCCCCTCTTCCCACACATAAAACTTGTTCCCATTTTGTTTTCTCTCTGTTAGCCACGTTTTTATTTTATTTCTTTACTAACTGAAAGCCTACACATGCAGTAGCAAAATAAATAGACAGAGAGACAGGCAAATTAAGGGGACTGGGTATGCTATTTGTTTATTTATTTACTTGTGCAAAAGTTTTCACTCTTTTTACCTAAAAATAGATACAAAAAGCAAAGAAAACTATGTAAAAATAATGCATAAAATTTCACAAATTGTTATTATTAGCGACAAGCAAGGCCAAGGAGCCAGCCTGCAAGTCCTGTAATTAGGATAATCGAGCTGCTTAAAATATGCACGAAATGTACACATAATTACAATCAGCAGAAAATTGGCAGTGGCAGTGGCTAAGATGGCTTGTGGCTCTTGGCTCCAGGCCGTGTGTGTGTGTGTGTGGGTAGCTCAAATTTCCAATGGCGTAACAGGATATCCCCGGGACACAGCCTGCACCCCCAATGAGTGAGTCATGGCATCCAAGAGCCGAGCCAAGCCACAGAGAGCAAACAGCTCGGAGACTCCTCTGACGGCTTATCCTCTTGGTTTTTAACACTGAAAAAAAATAGTTATGATTCTTAGAAAACTTGAGGATTTTCTTTCCCTCCCTAATTGTTAGCTTGGCGGCAAGATAAAAAAAATTTTCCCGGCACAAATTTGCATGTCCTTTGTGTCCCTGTGTTTGTCCTGTGGTCACAGTTGCGGCTGTGTGTGGGTTTTTCCTTCAAACCACAAAAGTCATGTCCTGGCAGAGTGACAGAGTCGTCACGTCACTTTGGTTTTATGCAGACCATTGCACTCGGCTACGGTTTTTCCCACTTTTCCATTGGAAAAACAAATATTTGAGAGGAAACTTTTCCTGTTCAGAAGTTAAACAATTGGTTAAGTAAACATTTTCTTGCTTGAATTAAGAATTCATTCTTTAATTATCTGCTGGAATTTGAGTTTTGAATTTAATATGTAATTTTTGATTAAGGTTAAATAAGGAGTTTGGCTAGAAATATATTCACAGAAAGCTAATTAGTAATTTGGTATAAAAATAAATGAAAATAATTACAAGTGCCATTAAAAGAGCTCATTGTGTATCTCCTAAGTCATATTTCTGGGCTTAAAACCTACTTGTTTTTAAGGTCACTTTAAATTAACACCTTTTGACATTTTAAATTAATAAAAAGCGGTTTAAAAATAATAAAAAATTCCTAAATTTCCGTACTATAATATATTTAGGTTAGTCCACCTATTAAACCCCATTTTTGGTCATAAAAAGCCAGAAGCCAGGACTTTAATTGCTTAGCTTTGTATTGTCAATGGTTTTTATACTTAAAGTAAGGTAATATTCTTGCTTTAAATCTAAATAAAAACCCTAATTTAACAGGAACTTAAAAACTAATTAGGAAAAAGTAAAACCACTTTTTGTTCCGACTCCCCACATTTACTTCCTCCGCGAAACTTAAGCCGTCCTAAGATGGCGAAAAAGGGACCCTCTTCTAATTTGCACAATTTCGTATTCATTAGAGACGAGAGAGGATGATTCTGCCGGGTAATTTATTTTAATTTTCTCAATTTAATTCGTCCTTCCAGCCTGCTGGACGTCCTCTGCAATGGAAGTGGCGCCCGCCTGGCTCTAGGAACCTCGGTAATATCCTATCTGATTGTCTACAATGAGGCCTCGGCGCCGTGTCTGCTCTTTGCTGTTGTTTTGGCCACTATTCATGGTACCATGGCAGGTGGGGTTATAACTATTAATTAATATATTTTATTATTATAATTTATATTAAAATGTAATATCTTAATATTGTTAATATTTAGCTCGTTGCAAAACCAGTCTGCGCAGCCTGCAAATGCCTTATGTGAGGGCCACAAATAAATTCGACTTTGGCTGCCTTTTTTTGGCCATTTGGCTGGATGCCTTGGCCGCCATGTGTGCCTGTGCTGCCTTGGCCAGGACCCTGAGTGCTTGTCTAGATGCCATGACAGGGGGTTTGGCAAGGATCCTAATACTGGGTGAGTTAAAACGGGATTGGGTTTAAAAGAAAATGTAAAATTACTTTAGTAATTACTTAAAAAGTTGTATATTCAAGTTTCAAGCTTAAAAATATTTTAAACTAATTTTAAACAATTTTCTTGTCATATTTTGACTTCTAAACACGCTTAATTTTAACACAATTTTGCTTTCACCTCTTAATTTATGCAAGAGTGTGCCCAATATTTCGTCACGAACTGTGTTGTGAAAATTAAAGTGTTGCCTACTTTCAGGCCGCAATGCACCCACGAACGAGCCCTGGCCGGATGTGCTTGGGGTCTCTGCTGTCTTCCTAGTCACGGGCATGTTCATGCTGGGCCTAGAGGTAACTCATCTTGAATCCCTCATCCCTCCAGCTTCCCACTCACTTGCATTAACTAATTCACAGCACTCGAGGGCCTTCAGCCTCATCCTGACACTTGGCATGTTTGGCCTGAACGCCATTCTCAGCGCCGTGGGTTGGTGGCGGGGCGATCTTGTGGCCTGGTCGTCGGAGCACTCCTTCCAGCCGGATGGCATTAGCAGCGTAAGTAGGCGACATCTCCAGCTCGGTCTTCTCCTCCTCCATCTTTATTGGGTCAGTGCACTGTGCCAGTCTGAGTTCTGTTCTGTTTCGTGGGCTTCCCCTTGTATTTTATTTGTTATTTTTTCCTCTGGCTCGTATCGATTTTAGCTGCCGTGACTGGGAACAATTGCGTGACCACAGCTGGAGCCACAGGATACGGGCTTTTGATTATGACACGTACTGGCGGGTTTGGTTTTTGTTTTTTTTTTTTTTGCCCCCCTTTTTCACCGGCATTCCACGGAGGAAAAGTCAGCAGTCAGACAGCAAAAAGCAGAGGGAAAGGTTGATTTATAGGGCATAGCTGAGTCAGGTAATACCCTTTAATGGGTTGCTTAAAAGAATATTATTAAGAAAGCTTTAAGAAAAAAGTTTCATATATAAAAGAGTGTACTTTTTATTGTATTATTCCATAATACATATAATTTTTTTTTATAATTTTTTTAAGTTTACTTATGTCTATATAATTAAAGAAATATATTTCGATATTTTTGATTTCGATACCCCGACACTGTATCGATATTTCCAGATTAAGTCTCGATTGATTTTTGAATTTAATCGATATTTTAACATTAATTGTGATTATTTGGATTTTTTAATAGATTTTTTTCGATATTTTCGATATGTTATTAAGTGCTATATTATTATTTTTCATTATAAATACCCTAAGAAGAACGCCAAACAGTTTAGTAACGAGGACAAATACACAGTTGCAGACAAATGGGAACGTCGCCTGTTATTAGCTTAGCTGTTATTAGCGGCATTATCTGGGTTATAACTGTGGCCGTGTCCATTCCCCTTTGCAGGTCTTCCTGGCCGCCGCCCTACTCACGTACTCCTTCCCCAGCGATTGGCCGCAACAGCATCGGAGTAGAAGGTTCACCATTACCTTAATCACCGGATTGGTCAGCATTTCGCTACTGCTGACAGCCATTTGTCTTTCCACAGTAGTTCACTACAAGTGAGTGTAAATGTTATATCCTACAGATATATATAACCATTTAATATATGTTTTACAACCTTAGAACCCACGAGGACTATGTGGCCGTGCCTTTGTTCAACATCCTGGATGAGAGTGGCTTCCACAAGTTGGTTCCTGCCTCGGCTTGCATGTTGCTTCTAACCAGTTCAGCGGCTTTTTTGGAGCTCTTTCCGGAGCTTTATGGGATTGTGGTACGGTTGGCCACCTCGGAATGGCGGATACTGTCCAAGCAGATCAGCTACGAGAGCTCAGAGAGTGGCAATCCCGTGTTGGCTGTTTTTATAGCCGGAAGCATGTGTGCCATGTTGGCCTTTGCCTGTCCCTTGCAGCATTTGAGTTATACCTTGGCTGCTGGCCATATGGGTGGGGTGTTCCTGAGGGCTTTTTATTTGCTATATACCCCCTATAGACCCAAGTTCATGGCACCTAGTAGCGAGTCTTCACTGTCATACAGTAGATTGTCCACAGCACCAATAGCCAAGAGTAGTAGCTGCAGCAGTGCAGCAACCTCCAGCTCTAGTCGCTTGAAGAGAAGCCTCTGGAACCTAGGTTTGCCCAAGCATTCGGGTTTGAAGAAGCCCAAGTCGAAGCCTAGGAACAAGCAGGAGTTGGAGAAGGAGTGGCTGCTGTTGGGTGAGCCCACATCACCTTGTCCGCAAAGAGAGGGCAGGGATGTGGAGTCTACTATACTGTCTGATGGAGAGCCGCCGGTAAGTAAAGAATATTGAGAAATATATACATTTTTATAAAGTTTATTAATTTTATTTAATAATTACCTTCAGCCCTCTGACTTTGAGTATCCTGAAAAGTTTGACAAAAGCGATTCAGACACCTCCACGGACATAGATGCCATTGTGGATGAGTATCGCGAGAAGATCAAGGTAAATATTTACAAAGAAAATAATCTGTAATATATAAATACTATCCTTAAATCTCAGGTAACCACAGCAGGTCCCTTGGAGCGCAGCGTGCGAGTGCCCACTGTGAGTTCTTGGAGGGTCACCATCTTTGCCATTGTGGTCATTGCCTTGGGCATAGCTCTCTGCGTCGCTGGTTTGATGATGCACTGGGCACCGGCAACCCTGACCGGCGGCATTGGCGTTCTCATTGTGACATTTATGATGGGTTTTATACCCAAATATACGGGCAGTGTGATCAATGTGAGTCCCGTGCTCTGTGGCATGTCCTTGCTGATGGGCGTGATCCTGTTCAGCGGCTGTGCCGTTCACTCCTGGCCCGGTTTGCTTATCTGGCTAATGGCTGGACTGATATTGGTCATCAGATGCGACAAGTACTGTTGCAATTGCTTTGAGCACACGACCATGCTGAATGCCCAACTGATACCCAGTGTCTCGGGGAAAACGAACCCGGGTTCGGCTTCAGGTTCTACATCAAACTTGGCAGGTCCTTCGACCAGCATAAGGATACCCAGGCCACCGAAGGGGGTGGGTGTGGTCAGTCTGCCGCAGCGCATCAATGGGCACAGGTGACAGTCGGAGTCCTCGGAGGAGGAGGGCGAGGACCTGTTCCACGAGGATTTCAATGTAAGGGACTTTGATGAGGAGGATGACGAGGATTGCTGGACTGATTAAGTAGCTGCGCTGCCTTTGGAAATTTACTTGGAAAACTCTCAACTTGCTAAGCCGCAGGATGATAAGGAAGAGCCAGCTTCCAGCCATGTTTGCCTGACATTTTCTAGCTAGCTAAAAAGGATTGTCGAAATTTACCTAAACACGTATTTTATGTAATTCTAGTTAGGCCTTGCTCTCTACAAATATAAGTTCCAAATAAAATACAATTTTCAAAAGATAAAGTTTAATAATTAATTTTATTTTAACACAAAGTCAAAGAACGATAAGAATAAGTTTGGATAACCCACAAAAGATATTTTTTCTAGGCATATAAATTCTCATTCTCCCTGAGATAATCCACTAGCTCTTGGATAGGCAACATGATAGTCTCCTCGTAACCCGGTTTTATCTCCATTACCCTTAGTAACAGTTCACTCCGATCACAGTTGAGATAATAATCAAATTTCTCTGGCTCTGCAGCTCTTAAACTATTTGAAACACTGACAGACATTTTGGTCTGAGGTTCTGTCAGAGCCCAAATAATTAAGGCAGCGAAACGCATTCTGCGACACTCCTCCAGGAAGTTCTCTCTGGTTATAATATCTGCAGGCAAACCCAACCTTATGAGGTGAGACTCCAAGGACTTGTGATAGTGTTCCAGACACTCTTCATAGATTTCTTCCCTGACTTTTGCTGGGGCCACTATATAGAGTAGGAATAAAACATCTAAAGCAGGAGAACAATACTTGGTCAATTGGAAATCCACAATGCAACAGGCTTTAGGCAAAACGGATGTATCCTTTTCAAACTGGAAAAATATATTCCTATCCCAGGTATCACGGTGGCAAAGTACATTTCTTATGGTCTTTGAGGGTGCCACAAATTCCTCAGCTTTGCTTAGAAGATGGTAAAGTTTATTTTTAATGAAACTTTGGGCCTCTGCGTTTTGATATTTGGGATGACGGGCTGCCAGGAATACAATAGCCTAAGAAATATTTTAAATTTTATACATATAGAGATATTATTTAAGAAGTAAAACTAACCTTAAGTCCCGTCATGAACCAGGAATTATCAGCACTTAAAAGCAATTCATTCAAGACATCCTTGAAGCTCTCTTGGATATTCAAGTGTTCTTTCTCCTCCCAGGCTATACTAGAGGCATGTAGCTCCGCCAAGTGTTCCAATACTAGTTTATAATGATCTATTGTATAGATTTCCGAGGGTTTGAGGTGTCTGTAATGCTGGGTAAGGTCTTCAAGGACTAAAATATCATTTCGACTGTAAAAACACTTGGGAAAGAGTTTTTTGGTGGCTAAGAAAAAATATTTAAAATAAATGTAAGGTTTAGTTGCTAAACTTTAGTATTTAATTATTACTTTTTATAACTCCTTTTTCTTACCATATTTTTGTACTTTGGGCAGTACCTTTGTGTACAAGGCCGACTCTTTGAGGAACACTCCCTTACGTTCACATTCCTCTCTCTGGGGCTCATTTTTACGTGGCAAACTCTTGATAAAATATTCCAGGTTGTATTGCTCTTGCTTTAAAGTATCTTCAACTATTAAGCGAAATTTATAGTACTCTCCCATATATCCCATTAGATCATTAGAGCCTTGATGTAGCTCGGATTTTAGTATCTTTAGGTTGGATTCATCACTTTCTGGTAGAGTTCTTTGGGCTATGAGCAGGCATTCCTCTAAACTAAGTAAATCCATGGCTGAATAATATCTAGATGTTAACTACTTGGCCTCTAAAATCTTATTAAATTCAGTGTCAGGGAGAAGATATCTTTTATAGTGAGAGAAGAAGATGGAAGAAGCTAGGAGAAGCTGCGTGAGATATGTAAGAGATTATAATACAAGATTGTAAATAGTAGAAGATACTCCAGGGTTTTAAATATTTTTTGTCTTGATAATTTTGTGAAGATAGAACCATTAACACCCTTTAAATAATTTTATTTTGTATTTAAATAATTTATTTGAATATTTCAATTAATAACCAAAACTTACTCTGTGTTAAACATTTAGTAATTGATACTTTCTAAGCCCAAATTAGTGTTCAGAATATAATATAATACCCAAAGACTCTCAAAGTCTAATATACCCCAAAAAACAGAAAAGTAACCCTCATGCCTTATCAACTTTCACTGAAAAGATTATCTCAAGTTCGCTCTTGAATAAAGAGAGACCTCACTCCCTGGACTGATAAAAACCCGAGTGTTACCAGGCGACCAGCAAGATAGCAACACAGCCAAAGCAGATTAATCAGTTTATTTTATTATATGTCAGTTCCAGTAAATCTCCCACACACTCGTACATATAATCCCTGAAGTCTGGATGATCTTTCATCAAACGTAAAACATCCTCAGTGCGATCCACATTACAGAAACGATGAAAGTCCGCTGGTTTTGTATCCTTAAGGTTCTTCAGATAATTATCGGGCAATCGCAGGATCGTGGCAGCTATACAATTGTAGGTGGCACCAAATAAAGCAAAGTCCTTGAGGGATTGCTCAAATTCCTTGAAACTTAGTTGTTCTTTGCTGGCATCGTTGCCCATTTCCCTGAGATCCTCAGTCAAGGTATTGTAATAGGTTTTGATTAGATTTCCTATAATCTCTTTACGTTTGGATGGCTCCAGATTGAGGTAGCTGACCAGATGAAAGTCTATGGCTGGTGGGGCATAGCGACACAGCTGGAAGTCGACTAGGAGGGATCTCTTCTCCTGTGCCTGCTCCTTGTGATAAAAGACATTTGCACCCCAGGCATCGCGATGGACAAACACATTCCGATGGACTGGTGAGGGGTTAACCATGTAGTACACGTTATCCAAATATCTGGGTAAGTCTTTAGCTATATATGACTGAGCTTGGGCATTATCGCGGACATCGGGATGGGTGGCAACGACTGCTAAGACGGCCTGTTTAAGGGATACATTAATTTATAATTTATTACATAAATTTAAAAGCTTATATTTTCTGTTTTTTTCTAATACCAAACTCACCCTCAAGCCCGTAGTGTACCACTCAACATCCGGATCCACAGACATTTCCTTTAGCCACTCTTTTAACTCAACTCCAATGGTTTTGCCCTGCTCCTTTTCATAGGCAATACTGCACGCATGCAAAGTGGCCAGGGTTTTCAGTATAGGACTCAGCTGCTCCTCGCTAAGGTAACGAGTGCCTGCTGGCAAGGCCACATAACCCATGTCCTCCACATTTTGCATCACAAAAAGATCATCGCGGCTGAAATAGCACTTGGCACACCAGACATGGGGGGCTGTTATTACAAAAAAAGAATACTTATTATTATTAATTTGTTATAATTGTATATTAAAACTCACAAAACTGCTTTAACCGACTAAGCAGCAATTCATACAGCTTAATCTCCTTTTTAATGATGCCCATCTTCTCCATATAGAATTCCATATTGGCATTCTGAAAAATCACTGATTTGACAAACAGTCGCGTGGTCGTTTCATTTTCTTGTTGCTCCAACTGATAGGTGAGATTCAGGTGAAAGTATTCACCCAAGAAACCCACATGTTCCGAGGCCGGCACTATTTCAAAACGTTTCAAGACACCCCGCTGTTTCTTATCGTTTAATAAATTTAACAAAATCTCTTTACACTCGTCCAAGGTAAACAGTTCCAGGCGATTTTCACGGGTTAGTACAGGCTTGTAGACTTCGGTACTCATTTTTTTGTTTGAAGAATCTTTAACAATCTATAAATTATTATAAATCTATAAGCAACCGCGATTGAACAGTTCGGGTCTCAGCTGGGAACTGTTTTCATTTTCAATGGGCACTAAGAATTATACTGCGGAGGGATACTGTATACTTTTTGGGGTATATTAGCTTGTTTAGTTGGGCTTAACTAAATGTAAATTTAAAAAATATTTAAATATTAATAATTGTGTGTAGAAAGTATACGATTATTACTTAATATGTTGAACTAGAAAGGTATAAAAATAAAATGTAATATTAACAGTGTTCTCTGTACTCATTTTAAATTAAAAACCTTGATTTAAAAACAATTTATTATAGAAATAATATTTTCATAACGTAAATTAAGAATTAAACTGTATATATATATATATATATATATGTTAAAGTCTAACACCATTTATTCACATTTTCCCATAAAAAAAGAGTATCTCCACTTCGTTTTATGTTTTAAAATACTTTTCTTTATTATTTACAATCATTTCTTATCTCATTAAAAACTGAATCTGCCGATAAGAACAGCCACACTTCCTTATCATCAGATTTGTTCACATGTTTTCCCTGGCCAAGGCCATCTCCATGACATCCACACAGCACTCCTCCATATATCTTCTAAACTCTTCATCCTTTGCCATATGACTAAGGATAACCCCACTGCGATCCACATACTTGAAATCATTAGTTATGAATTCCTGAGGAACCTTGACAATTGTAGCAGCCACTGCTCTATAGACCACACCAAATAAACGATAATCTTCATAGGATTCAAGAAGTTCAGCCTTTTCAATCGCCAATTTCTCAAGCTCAAAATCCTTTAGATTTTTCATCAAAAAACTGTGATACATATCAATACATTTTCTTTCCATATTTTTCCTATTCTCCGAACTAAGATTCATGTAAAGACTAAAGTTCAGGTCGGAAGCTGGTGGAGTATAGCAACAGGTTTGAAAATCTATAAGCAAAGCGGAAGACGATTTTTCGGGTGGGAAAAAGACATTACCCGACCAAAGGTCACGATGACACAGGACATTCTTGTATTTTTTCGAGGGTGCAGCCTGCTCGTAGATTTCCTCCATTATCTTAAGAAGTTTGGTGTCAATAAATAAGAGTTCCTTTTTTCCCTGATATTGTGGTAGACTCCTCACAGCAGCCAAGACAGCAGCGAGTCCTGTGGTGAACCAGGCTACCTCCGAGGCCACTGAGAATTCCAGCAAATGATCGGCATAGGTTTCTCCTATATTATTTTGTGTTTTGTGTTCGTAAATTAAACCGGCAGCATGAAAGGCAGAAATTGCTTTCATTAATTGCTGCATATTACTCTCGGAGAGTTCGAGTGTCTCTGCCGATCTGAAACCTTTCTGTTTGATGTCCTCCAGAACCAATAAATCGCAGCGAGTGAAATAACAGTCGGCGCTCCATTTTGTAGGTGCTTTTGGGGAAACATATTATATTTATATATATAGATTATACTATTTATTTTGTTAGTACTTACAATACTTCTGCATCTGAAGCAGTAAAGTCTGGTAAACCCATGCTTCCTTTTGAAAAAAGGCCTCTTTAGCAAGCTCAGCACTTGCTTGTGGCAGGGTTTTCACGAATAGTTTGATTTCTTCAGGAGTTCCTTCTTCCTCCTAAAAGTATACATTGCAATTTATTTTGTAATTATAAATTGTACATATTTAAAGTGTAAATTATTTTTTACATAGCGCCTGAAAGGGTTATCTCTCTGGATTTCATCAAATTAATCTGTCAACACGTTTTTCAATAATCATTGTCACATAATTAAAAACACTTAAAGCCTCGATGACTAATAGCTCGATGATAAGGGCAATACAACTTTTTAGGGTAGCACAGCTTAAATTAATTAATTTTGAGGGAAAATTATTCATTTATTTGGTATTTGTTTTGTATTCATTATTTTAAGACATTTGTTTGGTGATGTAAATATTTTAAAGATATTAATATCCTAAATTTTATTATATTTAGAATATTTAAATATATTTCACACATGTACAAACGCAAATCTTATTCAAATTTCTCTAATAAATATCTAACAATACTTTTATTTGTGCTAAATTATTCCCAGTAAAGGTTCATAAACCCCTACTATCATTTATTAAAGACACACTTTCTGGTTTTCGCTATCATTTTATAGACCCCAACTTAGTATCTCTATAATATAGTACTTCCACCTAGGCAACAATATATGTAGTATCCATACTTACATGGCTATATCTCAGAGTCAGGATATAGTAATCCCCTAGATAACCGATGGCTTCAAGATCCCTAACTACACGATAGTCGATAAGTTTGAGATTTGCTCTCTTTTTCACATTTTCCAATATTGTTTGGCACTCGCTGGGGCTAAGCAGCATATTGCGTATACGTAATGTGGGCGGCGTATTACGTATACGTACGATCACACTCTCTCTTTTTTGATTTGTTTGCGACCGAGACAAATTTGTCGCCTATTTTCACTCAGTCAAGTTTTCACTGCAGCCGGTGCACAACTGAGCAAAAATAGAATTTCGCTCAGTTTTTATTTTCCAATCTTCTGAACGAACGAACTCAGCTGTTCAACTGAATTGTTACTTCTACTACTAATCTTTATACATATCTGAGCGATAAGATTGAAAAAACGAGAAGATTAAAAGATTAAAAGACATAGCACCTGTTCAAATATAGGTCACAGCGGAGTGTCAGTCGGGGGAAAATATTCTTGAATCAGTTTCTTTCAATGATTTTAAACTTTTGTCCGCTTGATGTGGCAAAAATGTTAATGATTAGCGATTTTACATCCATCGGGAACTGGAAAAGGGAATGCTTTGTGGTACTATCGAACAAACAAATATAATTTTTGTATGTATTGTAGGCTTTAAAACTATATCATAATCCTCGATCTATAGATAGACATAAAATAATACAATGTTAAAATATTATTTAAATATTTTATTTAATTATAGAGTCACACATAAGACTTCTAAAAGACATTTTATAATTTTTTTAACACATATTTTTAAGCAATTAAATCTTGTAAACATTTTTCTTTAATTATATAAACCTCTTTAATCATTTTCCTTTCATAAACTTCACTTAATAAAATCTTTTAGGTAACATTAAACGCTTCAAGCGATTTTTCTCATGGATATAAGTGCTATAAGGACGAATGGTGATATAATAAAAGATTTCCACAAAACTGAGTAGACTGGCGCCCACAAAAAGGCCAGTGGTGCCGCCAATAGACACTAGAAATTAAATAGGGAAACAAATTAATTCTCCATCAATATTTTATATTATTAATATTTATATTCTCACCAACTAAATCCAGTTTCCCTCGCACCAAATTCCTTTTATATCGCTCCGTGGGCAGTTCAATGAGACCCACTTCGATCCTGGACACCGGATTTTGCTGTCCCGCCATATTATCCTTGCTGTCATAGACCGTGGTGATGTCCACTTCCGTGCAGGATGGCAGACAGTCGCAGACAAGACCCTTACGACCTCGGCGCTTCGACCATTTGGCTATGATGACCGACAAATCCTCGTAGTTCCGGTTGAGGCACTCTAAGCCATCCATATTGCAAAGCTGCCAGTCGGGTGAGTTGGGGGACAGGTGGCTGGAGCAGTTGCAGAGCTCCATTTGCCGATCCTTGCGACACTGCACGGTGCAGGCACTGTAACTGTAGTGACTGTGCACATCCAGGATATTCTCATCGGCAAAGCGGCAGTTCCGCTGTTGAACACTCGTCTGACGGATCTCCTCGTCGTTCTCAATGTCACGCTTGGAGATGTAGCGTCTGAAAGATATATAATCTTAATTTTAAATTGAATTTGGAGTGTTTTTTTATATAAAAAAGAATTTATAATATTTTAAGTAATTTTTTAAACCAAAAATATATCTTACACAAAGGATATGTAAGGTCCAACCACCAGAAAATCTGTTTTGGGTGTTACTAATGTGGGTACTTCTTCGTTGCCTAAAATAAAAACCTAAAAATGAGAGAAAAGTATATTTAATTTTATATTTTGTAAAAGAAAAATCTGGAAAGTGTATATTAATTAAAATTAAATCTTAGCAAAAGAACTTTTAACAAAATCTAAAGCACACTTTTGGGTTCTAATCTACTTACTTTCCACATATGTATGTATTATTTATTATGTTTATTTATATTATTAGTTTTAAGTTCTTTCTTTGGTTAATTTTGAGTTCTGTTAAAATAATTATTTTAGCTTTTTTAGCAAGTATTATTACCGTAGCCTCCGTATGCAATTCCATTCTCAAAGCCCCCGGACCACTGTCCCTATTCGAGTACATGTTCAACTTGGGGGCCTTGTTGTTCCTTAAAATATAAAAACAAAAATATAAATAATTTATAATAATTTTAAAAATAAACGAATAAAGAAAACCCACCCCGCTTGCAGAGAATTAATGGCATAGCAAATTCCCAGCTCCGTTTCCATGCGATGAAAGTACTTGCAACACTCGAAGGGCTGATTATTCCACTCGCAATTGCTGATGGAGTCCACGCAGCTGCTCCTGACCAGCTCGGCGTAGTACGAGAAGTTGGAGTAGAAACAGGAGGCGGTGACCTCTTCGCCACTGCACTCATGAACTGTGTGATAGGATTCCCCCCTGAAAAAGGCAATCTCGCTCAGGACCTCCTCCAAGGTGAAGTCATGATCAGCGCCCCATAATCTATAAGAAAAAAAAAGAAAAAAACTAGATTTTCCAAGATATAATTAGCTTTCTCAACTTACTGCTCAGCCACTTCTTGAATCCTATCCATGTTCTTTGATTCACAAACAATTATGGCTGGAAAATTGGTATTCCAATCCCGATACGAACTCTCCACCACAAAGCTAATGGCATTGTTCTCAAAGGCACCTGAAAGGTAAGAAGTATCTTCGAAGCCTTACCTTTATCTGAAAGCTGAATGCTAACTCACTCAGTGAGGCCTTGATGAGCAGCCATGAGGCATACCAAGAGGCCACCAGGCAGATCAACCAAAAGATGCGCTCTATCCAACTGGCATCCTTGTCCACGATGAACCTGGCTCCATGCAAAGTGGAATTCTCCAAATACTCCTCTATAATGCGTCCAAATCTCATAATGTCCAGTTAGTGACTAGTTTCGTATTATTTGTGTAACTGCAAAGGAGAGCTGTATTAATGACCTAATCTAATGACCTGGTTATCTGTTATCCATCTCCGTCAGCTGTTGATTTTCCCAGACTTTTTCTAACACGCAACTGGCCGCGGGAATTGAATCAACATTTATCTAGGGTTTAACTTTTGCCGGTATTATGTTTGCTGAGCACAAATAATGTCTCAAGATTTCGTTTGTTTACTCTGCTTTTATAAGTTATATATACTATAAATTGTGGATAATTAGTTGCTAACGGGGAAGTGCGAGCGGCTTGCGCAAAACGTTTAATCTCTGTGTAAGTAAATAACAATACATTATCGTAGCAGAGATACACGAGGAAGTTTTAGTCATTAGAAGGAAGAAAGTAGATTAAAAGGAGTTTGAATTATATATTATATATATATACAAATTTATACAATTTGGAAATGGAAAAATAATTTTAAAGTCTAAATTCAAAACCACAAAAATTCTTAAAAATATGGTTAAGCACACCACACTTCTGCTACGGCTATTAAAATTTATCTCTCCAGTATTCCTTTGGCTTTCCAAATAGGGGCCTTGAACTTGTTTTTCCATTTCAAAATTTCGCCTATTTATTTTCGCATTCATCAGCCTTTCAACACCTGATTTGACACACCCCCAAGAGCTGACCCTTAATTCCCAGTCACACAGTCTAAGACCAAGGCAAATAATATGAGAGATTTCGGCACTAAGGCTTCTTAAGTGGCAATCCCCTCGCCACGAGACTAAGCACACTTCCCTATCTGGCGGGAGATACTTGTCCCTATCTCAACCATAATTTACAGCTGTCTGAGGGCATCTGGATATATAAAACCAGTCCCATTGGGAGAACTCCAAAACAGTTGACTTTGAAATGGCCACCGCACTGGAACTGAGCAGCAGCGAGATTCGCGGTGTGTGCCAGCGTTACCTTCATCAGGATGTTGCAGAATCAAATCCAGGATTCGATATCATTAGCTATCAGCTGAAGCCCACATCGGATGCACCGGCTGGTTATCTGGGAAGACACTTGTACCTGCAGGTCACCCTGAAGCTCCATGAATCGGAGGAACCCCGCCAGCTGACTTTCTTCTCCAAATCCGCACCCGAGGGCAATGCTTCCCGAATGGAGTATCTGGAGGACTTTGGTGTCTTCCAGAAGGAGATCGCTGTCTACCAGAATGTCCTGCCTGAACTCCACAAGGCCTGTGCCGACGTGGCTCCAAAGTGTTATTATGCGGACAAGAATCTCCTTGTTTTTGAGAATCTCGCCGATCAGGGATATCGCATGGGTGCAAGTCGTGATGGTTTGCTCTCGTACGAGCAGCTGCACTGCTGTCTGAAGACCCTGGCTGCCTTGCATGCGGGTTCCATCATCCAGGAGCACAAAACGGGAAAGAAACTTACAGAAACTCAGCCAAAATCGGTGGTGGAGAATGCCTATCCCAGCGATGTGGGTCCCGAGCATCTGCGATGGGTGAACTTTCAGAATGCCTGCCTGGTGCTCAAGGAGTTCATTAAACTGATGCCCAAATATCAGGACAAGTTGGACTATATCTTGGAGAATTTTACTGAAAGGATGTCCTATATTTTTGAGGCTGTCAAGACCTCGGAAAAGTATCCCAATACCCTGCTCCATAACGATTTGTGGGCCAATAACATTATGTTCCAGTATGGGAAATATGGCGAAAGTCCACTACAGTGTCGCCTCGTGGACTTCCAGCTGGCCCGGTATGCTCCACCTGCCTTGGATGTTCTTACAGTCCTCACTATACCCACATCGAAGCAGTTCCGGGAAGCCCATCTCCAGGAACTTTTGGCGGAATATTATCGCTTTATGACCGAGTTTCTGAAACGTGCCAATCTGGATATAGCTCGATTTTTGCCCGAAAAGTGCTTCTACGATTCGGTGGAGGAATTTCACAGCATTGGCCTCATCGAGAGCTGTCTCTTTTGCCACTTGGTCACCCTACCACCGGAATCCACCAAGAAGCTGACCAGCTCTGCCGATGGCTTCAGGGATTTTTTTAGCAATCGACGCATTGAGATCTGTGTGGAGGCCTTTAAGACAGATGAAGTGTACAGAAATCGTTTGATGGACATGCTCCAGGACTTTGTGGATAATTTTGTTATCAAGGGGGAAAAGTAAATTGTATTTATTGCTAAGAAAAATTATAAACATTATAGAAAAATGGGGTATACATATATATATTCTTTTAATTAAATTTTAAAATCTATAAAAAGATAAAATTCTGATGTTTACAAATTCAAACACAAAATACATAAAGTGCAGCTTCACTGTACATCAATACCAGAGTTATATAACTTCAAGCTTGTTCATTTTTAGGGCCAAACTACTTTCTCAATCCAGTCTAGGTATGTGTAAACATCGGTGTAAACACTGTGAGGATTTTCAGCAGTACATAAATCACCATACGACACCACCCCGATCACTTGGCCCAAGCAGGAGCCCCACTCTGAATGCCATCTAGCCAGTGGTCCACCTGAATCACCTTTGCATGTGAGGCCGACGCTACAAATATGCCTGCCGGGAAGGCCACGGGGGCAATCTGAAATTTTTAGAATCGGAAGCGTGAGTTTGTTCAGCTCCTTGGACATTCTAGGTTCATGGTTTACTGCTCCCCAGCCGGAAACAGTGGCGTTGTCACCGATTTTTACACTACAATTCGACAGACAGGCGGGTTTTATCTTCTCATTAAATACGACACTATCATTTAGCAGCAATAAGGATATATCTCCAGTCTTGGTCCAAACGTCGCGATCTGGAGGATACTTTACGTCTACGACCTTATACACAATTCCATCTGTGAGGCTGTGTGCACCCAAACGCACAAAGAAATCGCTAGAAAAAAGATAATGCGGTAATAGATATAATAAATTATGAATATTAATTTTAAATTGCATTTAAATGCAGAATTAATATTTAGCAGCATACTTTTCAGCACTTTTTAAAGGGGATTAAAAAATGTTCTAATATAACTTACGGCTCTTTTGTACCATTTTCTCGTTGAAACTGAATACAATGTGCTGCAGTAAGTACATATTTCTTGTGTATCAGGGCTCCGCCGCAAGTCCAATTCATTTCCTTTAAAGCTTCATTATACCATCCAACCGATGCCATATATGGGAACTCATTCTTATTGGCTACAGTTGCATCAACTATAAGTTTATGAGGCGGACAAAGTTCCCTGTTATTGGACCAGTTCAGACAAGCTGGAAAGATAAAGATTATAAATTCTGCTAGTTAATGTTATAATCTTAGTACTAACTTACCTATTGCCGATTTACTTGTGTAGGTTCGCACTGTGGGACGCGGACAGCATACATGTGTTTTGTTACACATCGGCGGAGTATAGCTCGTTTCGAAATCTTTGCAGTCGAGCTCGGGAACACATCTGCCCTTGCAGTTGGGAAACGCATTATAACCTTGAACCACTACAAATATTAAAGGAATTAGCAGGATTATTTTAAAAAACATGTTGAAGAGATCTTTGGCATAGCAATGCTATCGACCGACTTCAACGAGCTGAGAAGACTAACTGAACCAAGAAGAACTTGACTTGCAGATGAAAACTGGGAATTAATTAATTCCATCAATTATAAACCTACAAAAAAAAGAGTTTAAAAAAATAGTTGTCACTTTAAAAAGTAAGTCAGCAAACATTTGAAGAAATTAACACAAAAAATATAAATTTCAATTAAAAGAAATTGAATTATTAGCGGCAACAAAAATTAAAAGAGTGGAAAATAAAGAATTAATTTCAATTGAATTGAATTGAACAACAAACTTGTGGCTTTTAGAATTGCAACAATAGAAAGTAAAGTTTTTTTTAACAAAAATTATTTATATTCCCCCAAAAACCATAATTATAAGCCTTAAAAATTCAAAAGCGAATCCCTCAACCCCAGTCAAGTTTTTACTCAGCTTTTTAGTCGCATGCTTCGTTGAGTTTCCGTTTTCGTTTTCGTTTTCATTTTCGTTTTGGTTTTCATTTTCTTCTCTTTTTTTTTTCATTTTAGTTTTAAAAAACTTTCAAGCTGTGTCCAAAACCTGCAATCCGATACGATACGATACGATCTCCGGCTTCGGCCAGTCTCCGGCCGCTTGGCTTAAACTCAACTTAAACCTAAATTCAGTTGCCAATTGGCCGCGTTCAATTCAACAACTGCTGGCGGCTTAAACAAATTTAAAAAAAATCGTTGAGCATTAATGAGTAAATAAATTAAATTTGCATTGTTCTTCTAAATCGTTTAATAGGGTTTTTAATAATCAAACAAAATGTGAGTTAAATTCAATAAAAAATAAAAAAGTGTGCTCAAGTGTTTGCAGATAGTTGGTTTTAATTATAAATGTTTTATGATTTTGGGAAATAAAAGTCTAAAATTCAGGTCTAAATAAAAATCCTTGGACCCATTATATTTCACGCACTTAAGGATTTATAGAAATGTTTTGGTGATAAATATTTTGTATGGAAAATTGCCATACAATGTAAACAAGTTTTTAAAGTAAAGAAAAAACTTAATTTTTACAAAAAAAAAATTTAAAACAAAATTTTAAATATATTAAATAAAATATAAACTTTTTAATAATACCAAATAAAATAAAAAATCTGTGTTTAAAATCTTAAAAACAAATTCCAAAATATTTAATTTAAATACTAAAATATTTTTCAAAGCAAATCTAAATCGACAAGAAGCAAATAATAATATAAAAAATTAAAAAATACATTTACTATACATAACTATAAATTCTAAAATAATTATTAATATTAAATATAAATGAAATAAACCCTTTGCTTTTTAAGCTGTGAATTAATTTCCCGAACAAAAAATTGCATAATACTTTAAGCCCTATAAAATGCAATGATCCCACAGCATATAATTTTTAAAATTAAAAAATTCGCTGCGGTGGTCGCCACTCAAAAAGTGAAGAAAAACTGTGACAACAAAAACTGTGACACGTACAATGAAAAAAGCCCATAAACTACTTGACCTATCACAAGAGCAACAATAGCTTAAAGTTGTCGGCGACAACAACACCAGCATTCATTGACTGACAAGCATAAAATCGAAAAGGAAAAAAAATTTACGACGCCTCTGTACTCAACACATAATTCGGTTTAACTGTCACGTTTTTTTAACAAATGCAAAAAATGCCCAAAAAGTAAGAGACTAAAATAAATAAATAAAAAACGTAACTTAAACCGAAGCAAAATTCACCAAAAACGCAGACACAGACACAATAAACTTTATGAAAATAATAACAATAATGCGACCAAAAAAATAAAATTGTGTTACGATTGTCATGCTGAGCCGCATTTTCAATTAACCCAAGTGAAGACCCAAAATAAATGCCTTTTAGCCCATGTTTCGCTTTGGCCACTTACGCCATTTGGCTAATAAATATGATCCGCATATCGAATATTGGCCATGGGTGGCCAAAGGGGCGTGGCTTATAGAGGGAGTGCCGATGGGCGGACAGAGGGGGTGTTGCCAAGCAACGCGTGCCAAGAGCTTAAATAGGTTGGCATAATTATTACCAAATAGAAAATATCTCTCTATTTATAATAGGGCTTTAATTGAATTTTAATTTAATTTTATAATAATTTAAATTCGGTGTGAAAATTGTTATGAAAAAGCTTGTTTTAAAATAGGAAACAATTATACTAGGAAAATATAAAGTATTACCTAATATATTTTATTTAAATGTTGTAGGTTTAAAGGAAAAAGTATTTAAAAATTATCATTATCATAATCATTAAGATACAAGATATTTTACATAAATATTTCTTATTCTTCATCAGTTAATAATCCCTAAAAAACACTTAATAAACCCCTTAAAACTATATTTAAAATCCCATTTAATTACCATCTGTCACAACCTGTACACTGGGCTGCTCCTCTTCCTCAAATAGTTTTTTTTTAAGAAAACAAATGTAAAACAACATTTTTAATTAAAAACTTCATGGGGAAGTGAAATGTGCATAAAAAAAAGGGACACAAAAACAACCATCATCTACCTCTGGCAACCTTGAAATGATTTAAAATGTTCACACTTTCGAAAAAATTTAACGATCACTTGGCTACCATTCGCCGGCTAAAACTTGTAATGAGCGTTAAGTGCGGAGAGGTTCCCTCATGATATAGTATGTAGTAGCATCCAAGGTTCCTGCATAACGGTAGCGATTCAACCTAATTTTCCAGACCCAGTTTTTTGATCCCACGCACCCAAAAAAAAAAAAAAAATAGAGAAAAAATTGTAACAGATGCGCCAAACGGGCATATTTCCTCATTGTCCGGCATGCAAAATGTAAACAAATTTGTGGACTTGTTGTAGAATAACAATAATACACAATACGTCAATCTTTGTCAATTAACCACATGACCCAAATTGGGAATGCTATAGCCACTACGTTTGTATATATATTTGTATACTAGCAGACCCGACCCGCTTTGCTGGGCCCGTACTAATTATAGTTGACCCGGCAAACACTGTTTTGTCATGCATATTATTTGTAGGAAACAATACGGAAACAATGAGCATATTACAGAGTTGTCAGTAAATAGAATATTAAACCTTCAACAGTAATCTTAATATATAAAAATCTCCTGTCACTATGTTTGTTCGCTATAGACTCCTAAACCGCTTCCTCTGCTTGTTCAATAAAATGATACTGGCATCGGGTCGTTAAGCGCTCTTCACAATTGCCCATAAAATAAATTTGAAGAAATTTCGGATTATCATCAGGCATCAATAATCCAATTTTGTGGTACATCTGGCCTTGTATTTTGAATGTAGTTTCAAAATTACGTCCATCGGATGCAAGATCACAAATTTTAGTGGCCCCAAATGACGTCATTTGGAAGCAACTATTAAATTTGCATATTTTACGCAAAAATAATTTTGAGTCATTTGAATTTCCAGCAAGAAGGGATAATAAAGGTTCTGGCGGAGCAAGTAGAGGTTGCAAAACGACTTTTCCTGCTGCGCAGCACATACCGGCAGTTTCATTCCGAAATTTAAACGCCTGACAATATTGACATACTTTGTCCATTCCACCGATAGCAATTTTTGAATGCGCAAAGTAGTTAATATCTGGTGCATATTCAAAAGCAAGACGAACGAATGATGTACGAACTAATGAGCGACTGTTCCGCTGCCTTTGTCGTACTTGTGCTCGTACTATACATATCTATGTTTCTATCTCGAGCCGCCCTGATTCTCGTAATATTCTGCTGCAGACGTTCGCTACGCTGTTCCTGGGATTCTTGTGCACGACCTTCTGCTGTCCTAATTCTTTGAGCTCTATTTCGAAACGTCTGCGTCGTGCCACTCTGCTGCTTACGTTGTTGAGATTCGATCTTTTCGGTGGCATTTTGCTGAAAATATTATCTTACCTTCTTAATGTATTTCAAATGATAATTTAGAGACTCACCACTTATAAACACAAAACAATAATTATGAATGACAAGTGACAATAAAAGAAAAGACATTCTGACGAAATGCGATTTATTGAAATAATATATTACAAAATATGTAATACGTGAAGAACCGCTCAACCAATTTGGTGCAAACTCATCAACAAAATAGCCCGAGCAAAGCATAAAGATTTGGTTAAATAAGCACACTAAATTCCATAAGAATCGGTAAAGCCGTTTCGGAGGAGTGCATAAAAAAAGAAGATTCCTCCTTGTTCTGCCGAAACTGCCATGATGTAAAAGATCTTAGCTATCCTATCTCTCAAGTTGAACCAAACTGCATAAGCACACTAAATTTCATGAGAATCGGTAAAGCCGTTTCGAAGGAGTGCATAAAAAAGAAGATTCCTCCTTGTCCTGCCGAAACTGCCATGATTAGCTATCCTAACTCTCAAGTTGAACCAAACTGCATAAGCGCACTAAATTTCATGAGAATTGGTAAAGCCGTTTCGGAGGAGTGCATAAAAAAATAAGATTCCTCCTTGTCCTGCCGAAACTGCCATGATGTAAAAAATCTTAGCTATCCTATCTATCAAGTTGAACCAAACTGCATAAGCACACTAAATTTCATGAGAATCGGTAAAGCCGTTTCGAAGGAGTGCATAAAAAAGAAGATTCCTCCTTGTCCTGCCGAAACTGCCATGATTAGCTATCCTAACTCTCAAGTTGAACCAAACTGCATAAGCGCACTAAATTTCATGAGAATTGGTAAAGCCGTTTCGGAGGAGTGCATAAAAAAATAAGATTCCTCCTTGTCCTGCCGAAACTGCCATGATGTTAAAGATCTTAGCTATCCTATCTCTCAAGTTGAACCAAACTGCATAAGCACACTAAATTTCATGAGAATCGGTAAAGCCGTTTCGGAGGAGTGCATAAAAAAGAAGATTCCTCCTTGTCCTGCCGAAACTGCCATTCTGACTGAAAAGCGACAGACAGGATGGATTGACATATTAGTTGGTTGTCAAATCTAATGTCAAATATTATGATTGCGTTCAGAAATTTAACTTAAGATTTATAATTTAACGTTTGTGACAAAACTTAAGATTTATCTTTCGATTTCTATATAGTCTTATTAAAAACAAAAGACAGATTAACAACTGAAGTTAGCTAAAATTAATTTTCTCGAAGCTATATGAAGCTGTGAGACTATGCAATTTTGTCGCGTTCGCGATTCACTTTCACTTTTGTTGAGTTTCGGAACGCGATATTAGATCCTCCAACGCGCATGCGAATTTGAACTTTATACAGCGGTAATAAATTACAAATTGACTCTCCATTTTATTTAGAAAACGTGTGTATGGGAAATAGAAAAATACTGTTTTGAGGATTTTCCCGGCAATTATTCGAATTTTTCTCACCTTTTAAACCTTCCCTACACCTCCACGAATAATTCAAGACCAAGATAAGATAAATCCGTTCAGCCATTCTCGAGTTTTAGCGAGACTAATGAACAGCAATTGATTTTTATATATATAGATATGTATATATGCCACGGAATGTACGTGTACCGTCTGCCTGTCCTACTGAAAAAAAAGCGAAAACTGCAGCGACGCGCCGTTGACGCCAATTGGATTCCATTGACCTAATCACATGGTGTATAGTCGCTGCTGTTCGGTCGCCGAGAGCTGTAAGTAAGTAGCTGAGCGAAAAGCCCGGACTCCGTACTCGAAATGAGCCCCCGAAAACCTGAAAATGCCAACACATTTCTCGTCTGTCGGCGGCGCATGCGCAAAACGCCAGAATTGCATAAGATGATGGTCGGGGTACCAAAGTTGGCCATTTGGATGCCAGGCGAACAAGTCACGGGACACCAACTGGGTGGGGTTTATACCCTCCTCCCCCACTGGGTGCTGCTGGGTCACTGACCAAAAAAAATATATACCCACATATATCGTACTTTATATATGTTTGTACCACACACAAAGGAGAAGATGTCTTCTTGAATTTAAATGGTTTTTTGTGGTTGAAAATGCAGTTCCGCATTATTTTATTCAACAATTTATGAGTTCTTTTATTTATTGATTTATTAAAATGCTTTCAGAATGAAATAAGTACTAAATCGGGTCATTTTACATTATCAAAAAAAAGATATTTAAAAGGTTTTTTAATTTTAAAGTGGAAGAATAAGAATGAATACTGTTTATAGGGTTTCTGGTAATTGGGTTTTAATGGTTAATTTTATGTAAAATACAGTTCCGTAATTATTCTCAGCGAATTCTTAATATTAAAATATTATCTATTATTATATTCCTTATTATTTTACTTCCTAATTTTTATGGAATTTGTATATATGTTTATTTTAATTCAGTTCTGAGTGATTCTTTGAAACATAAACCGATTAACCATCGATACATAAATCGAAATTTTAACGTTTCTTTATATGTGCAATTAAAATTAGTCCTCTAAAAACTTACATAAAACCTCCTATTTCTAGATTTCATTTAAAACCTCCTGTAGTTACAAAAAATCCTTCCGCTATAACCCGAAAAGCCACCTTTTACTAGTCTCTGCCATATAAGTACCTAAGTACACACAGTCCACTCCATTGATTTGCATTTCGTTGCATCACATTCACTAGTCAAAAGTTTTCCCAGCTCTTTGCCTGTATAAAAATCTCATTATCAAGCCCAGACTTGGACAATCTTTCTGGCATACAAAGTGCCATGAACCATTGGCAAAACCATGAGTTAGCAGGTAACCGAAGGGCGAACACACACAGACACTCAGACTGGCAGAGGCACTTGGCCAGCGAGACTGCCGCAAGTGGCAATATCAAGTCCAAAACTTACATCATCGGTGGCCAGAAACAAGCAGAGAGGCAAGTGTGGTCCGCCACTGCCGGTTATCCAATTAAAAGCAAAGATCAGGGATCTTTTTTCAGGCCGGCAAGACGCATGACTCTGGAAAATATCTCGCCAGTAGCAAAAGCAGCGCCAGCGACAGAGTTTTCCTCCAGGCCAGGCGCACGCGACATCTAGGAAATGGCAATCACATGACAACCAAGTTTTAGCTAGGCAGAAAAATAGAAAAAGCCTATCAGGGATGACTGGAAAAAAGCTAGGAAAATATATGATGTATCCTTTGGTTTAATATTAATTTTAAAAAATATATAAAGCTTCAAAAAACTGAAATTATAAGCTTGAAAAAGAACTTAAGCTAGTTTTCCCTTCAAATTTCTTGTAAAACCTATAGTTCACTCATCCTCTTATATGTTAAAATGTGAGATGCTTCACTGTACTGTACAATACCTAAAGATTCAGCTCTCTTGCCTCACTTTAGAGCCGCGTCAGCTGACTTGGCCAACGGGTTGTCCCAAGCCTCCGAGTGTGGAGAGTGAAAAGCGGTCATTTAGGCGTGGACTGGATGCGTGGATCGAAAAGTGCGGGAATGGGGAATGCGTCTTTGGTGTGTGCGTGACAGGCGGAAACTTGTAATATTATATGCACGCCACAATTATGTAATGATCTTCATCGCTATAATATGTAGCCTTAAGTCGAGCAAGTGGAATACCATATATCTGTCAGTCATCCGAAATCAACGAGGCGTAATCTTCTTCTCTTTTTTTTGTTTTCAATGTTTTAAAGGTGCCTCCTGCGCGGTCGTCTCAGCGTCTGGCCAGCTCTTGCATTGGCCCTGCTGTCTCTCTTGGCCGTAATCGAGGCCAGGCCACAGAGGAACCTGCAACATGTGGCCGTGGTGGAGAATGCCGCCTGGGAGCAGACGCTGCCTCAGCAGTTTCAGAATCCCTTTTACAAGACGCCAAGGGTGAGGGATGCTTTGGCCAGATCCAGTTGGTTTGGACCAGGCGAGGAGGTGGTAAGTTGGTTAATATATTATAATAGAAAATAATCTTGAGTTACTTAAGAAGAAACAGAAAATAGGCCGAAGAAAATTCTAACAGGTCGTATACGTAATTTGTGTAATAAAGCTTGACTTTAAAAATTTAAAGATTTAATTGAGGTTTAAGGCAAATATAAAATTAATAATAATAATAATAATAGTTCTAAAGATATTAAAAAATAATGTAGAAATATATATATTTGTTGTTTAAACAGTAAAGTAGAATAAGGCAACAGGTCGTATACGTATTTTTTATTACGTCTAACCATCTAATTTCATAGATATATTTAGGGTCAAAAATAAAGCTTAATACAATAATAATAATGATTTTGTATTAAGCTTTAAGATGGTTTGTTTATTCACTGACTAATTTTATATAATTATTATTTTAAATTAAAATTCTCCGCCAGGTTTACGACCGTCAGGCTGAGAAAATTCCACGCATGGAAATCTACAATGTGCTGTCGCATGCCGGCTTAATACCACGCCGGCGTTTCCTCTAAAATTAATATAAAAATATTCCAATAACAATTATGTACTGTAAACTTTATAAAAATAAAAATCAAAGTCATTAGTTTAGGAACGAAAAATCAATGTATTTATTCTATAATAAAGGGAATACCAATCTACAACTCAATTAAAACTCATAATAATCAAAATATCCTTAAATAACCCCTTACCCTTATCTTCTAAATATAAAACTCTCTTTTGATTTTGTATTATCAACTTGTATTATCAACTTCTGGTCTTATACAAAAATATATATGAATTTATTAGGGTCTTTTAATAAAACAACTAAATAGATTTGTTTACATTCATAACCTCAGCTTGGTCCTTAGCGCTGCCACAACCTTCAATCTATTGTCCAAGGCCTGCTGGTCAGCCTCTTCTCCTGTTGGCTTTTCCTCCAGCTTTTCATTCTGTTCCAGCAGCGTTTTCCGGGTATCTTCACTGGCCGCTATTGCTTCTATATCAACATCAACATCAACATCCTCTTCATCAGCACTATCCGCATGGGACAGACCATTGCCATTGATGGCACCGCCGTTGGTCAAGGTGGCATCTCCTCCTCCTCCAGTGGCTGAGGAATGCCTTGAGGCTGAATCCGCTGGGATGAGCAGCGACTTGACAAATTCGCTGCAAATCAGGCTCATGGCGGGCATCGTGTGGGCGGACAGATTGACAAACTGTAATACGAAATAAAGAAATAAAACGATTAATTGACATTGACCTTGGTGAAGTTCAAAAAGTGTGTTAGTAGTGGCAGTGGTGGCAGGTTTTTTTATAGGTATAAAAAAAAGTTTAAAAACAAAAAGTTTATATAAAGAATGATAGAAAAAAAGGAAAACTTAAAAAAAAAAAATGTTGGAAAGAACAGTCTTCATTCAACTAAAATAAATCATCTAATTATAAGAATTTCTTTGGCTTTGGCTTTGTATTTTCAAAAATATATAGTTTTGTCAAAGCTATATATGAAATTTTCTATTTTACAAATTACAAAAACAAACTGTGAGATTGTGTAGCTTTGAAAATTAAATATTTTTTAACCCAAAACTAAAATCTAAATAATTTGTCAAAGCTTATCTTAGCTATAAATAAGCCAAGTTCCCAACACCCTTTAGTTTTGGCACTTGTACTTATTATTTAAATTTTTTATTTGGGTGTCGAGATTGCGGTTCAAGTTCAGCTCAAGCGCTGAACAATGTTAATCACATGATTATTATTCGCTTTCGGTTTTTGTCATTGCTGAGCGGCTTTTAAATGTCTGATGTTTGTTTTGTTAACCTTCGCGCATGCGCTTACGGCTGCCTGTTTGCTATTGTTGCTCCATTTTAATGCAAAATACAAGTAGTTCACGAAATTGGCAAAGACAATCGAAGTGCAAACACATCTTTTGCGTGTCAATCAGCTGAGCCAAGCAGAGTGTGCAATTTGTGTTATTGTTTTTCCAGGAAAATACACTCAGTGGCTGACTCAAACTGATTCGGGGGACGATAAGTCAGAAACACTAATTGAGTTCATTTTCGAAAGAACCGACTAAAACCAGAATAAACCCTCAAAAACTACGATAATTGGCAAAAGTAATTAAGGCGAGCGATTTACAATATTACACGTAGCAACAGTGTCCGCAAAATTTACATCGCCGGACAACAAAGCGCTCCTAATTATTGGCCCCCAGCACAATAATCGAGTAATCGAGTTTGGGGGAGAACAAAAAAAGGTAAAGTGTCACCGGCACGCAATGGAAAATGCTTGCCACACGCATAAAACACAAAATTCGAGCGGGCAATGGGTGTTGCAGGAAAAAAAGAGGGGAAAATGTGGCACTTTCATTTAGGGAACAGTGGAATGAAAAGGAATAAAAAAGAATCGGAAAATATTGTAATTGAATTTATCGAGAAAAAAACCTGTTACTAAAAATTGAATTTTTGCAATTATTTTGTTGTAAAAAAGATTTAAAACCAGTGAGTTAAAATTATATATATTTTTTATAAATACAGTAAAAGAATCTCTTTTGGAATCATTTTATTGGTCAAATCAGAAAACAATGTTATCGGTGAGCTTAAACTTAAAAAGAAACCCACTCTTTTTTAAGTTAAAAATGTATTTTTTTAATTACAAAATTTTATTTCTTATTTTCATCTATTTAATCCACCCATTCCACTGTGCACCAGTGGGCGGCAGTGCGGCTGCACCGACAAACCCAAGCCCCCCCATTGACCATTCACAATAGCTCGTAATAGCAAGTGCACAAGCAAGAGAGAGGGCAAGAGTGAGAGAGCAGCGGTCACAATAATAACAAAACGAAGAGTTACGAGAGCGGGTCACGAAAGCCGAAGCCAGAGCCGAAGACCATACAGCTCGAGTTGTATAAATTGCCGAGAGCCGCTGCGACAGCTCAGCACTTTACCGTTGTATTTCGCAGAAAAACAACAGTTAGCCGGAAAGAGAGCCATAACCGGAAGCGCGTGCCGCCAAAGTTTACGGAAATAAAAGCGGACAAAAGTTCATCCTCGCGCTTCTCTCGTTCTCTCCCTTTCTCTTCCTCCTGCTGCTCTTTCTCTTTAACTGCAACTGACAAAGTGGCAAAATCAGATTAAACGATTTACGGGCCACTGACAAAGCAAAAAAATAAAAAAAGTATAAAGAAAAAAACAACAAAGTGCAGTGTGCAGAGGCGGAGACAGAGAACTCCTTGTTCAGAAAAAAAAACAGAAGGAAATATCCGGAAAATGTGGCCCAACTTTGTAGCTGTCATTTCCCTGCTGTGCCTTGCATTCATCGCCTGGGCGAAAGCTGGACCCGTGCCAATTGTCAACGAGGTGAGTAAAAGGGGTAAAAGGATTGCGGGTGATGCAGGGAAGTAGATGGCAAAAGGAGCCCACATATAGCCCTCACAGTGGGAGGCATGAATTTGGGGCAATGACTTCACTCGAATTTCACGCCGAAATGGCCGCCTCCGGCGCCACTTGCAGCAAAAGTGCAGGAAGTGCAAACGCGCTAATTAAAAGTGGGCGGCGTTGAGAATTTTCTCGAAAAAAAAAACAAGCAGAGTGCACTCTTTAATTAAAAGATTGCTTTCGAATTAAAAAATAATGGCCGAGGGAATTTATAAATACAAATTAAACGGAAGTTAAACTTTGAAATACCCTTGCGAAATATATAGAAAAAACAATGGTGCGGCGTTATCAGATGAAGATTTTCCTTGGAGAATATATTTCCTATAGCAGTTTGTTTAGTTTTCCAAAGTTTAATATTCTTGTTAATGTATTGCAAATTATTGACCAGTTTTCAAATATGAGTCATAGAAATACCATTCAACTTAAGTTAAGGCTAATTTTACTATACATTTGGACAAATATTAATTTTTTACGGAATTTTTTTATGGATCTACATTTAAAAATCGTACCCTTTCAATTTTAAAGTTTTAGTTTCAAGTTAAGCTTATCCAATTTCAACTTGCAGTGTTTTATCAAGGGTCCTTTTCAATAATTGTCATAATTTAATAAAATATTTTTAATCATATTAATATCTCCCTAGAAACCCTTAAACCCCTTAGCAAGGGTATCAAATACAGAAACAAACAAGAAAGAAAGCTAACTTTGGCCAGCCAAAGTTTGTATACCCTTGCAGGTAACAATTAAAATATATCATAACTAAGCCAAAAATGCATTAATTTTGATTAGTTTTTATTAATTTAACCCTAGACGGTCATGCTTCGTCGATTCGACGACGCAAAATCACAAAAGTTCGAAAAATGAAAAAAAGGTCGTTTTTTATTCTTAGTTTTTAAGTATATTCTTAATATAAGAATTAATTATTATTTCTAATTTTGAACAGTTAAAATGATGAATTAAACGATGTTAAATTTTTTTTTTACAATATTTGTTTGTTTTTTAACAATTATACTTATTTTAAAATTGGCGTCGTCGATTCGACGAAGCATAACCTTAACGTAGGAAAAATAAGCATGACCGTCTAGGGTTAAAAAAACTGCATACCAAATTTAAAATTTTAAGAAATCAAAATTTTTGGCCATTTTTGCTAATTTTAATGATGCAACCCCTTATCAAATTTCGCAAAAATGGCCAAAAAATCGATTTCTTCCGGACATGTCTAGAAAGATTCCCCTGTTGATGCTGATCAAGAATATATATGGTTTATGGGGTCGGAAATGATTCCTTGACTTAGAAAAATATTATTTTGTAATATAAAATCGGATTTTTTATATTAAAAAACTTCTTGATTTTTTTATAATTAAAAATATCATAACTCGGCCAAAAGAGCATTAATTTTAAATCGGAAAACTGTTCTGTGCAAGATTTTCAACAGTTAATAAATCTGCATACTTCATTTTAAAATTTTGAAAATTCAATTTTTTATCAAAATCAAATTTCGCAAAAATGGCCAAAAAATCGATTTCTTCCGGACATGTCTAAAAAGATTCGCCTGTTAATGCTGATCAAGAATATATATACTTTATAGGGTCTCCTTCACTGCGTTGCAAACTTCTGACTGATATTAAGTATAAGACCCTGCAAGGGTATAAAATATAAGCAAAACTAAGCTGGCAGACACGTTGGCAGTGGGTGCTGCCTTAATCTGTGTAACTAAATATAGTCAAGCGGTAAAAGTTTTTGTTCCCAAGACCAGGCGTTTATATAATACATATTAAAAATCTGGATCCTATCCGCTTATCAACTGCCGTGCAGACTTGACCCTTGAGAGAACAAAACAAAGTGATTAATCAATTTTAAAAATAACAACAACTGATTATTAAAAAGTGATCTTTGGAAAGGAATACCCCCAAATTGCAGGAGTCAAGTTCAGATGCTGATTATTCGAATATTATATAAGGCTAGGCCATCTAAGAATTTGATAATATGAAGGGATCATAACGTCATCTCTCATTCTTTAATATAATAAATCATCAAAAAAGAAACTGATTAAATAATCTTTTCAAATGGAAATTCCTGTAAATTGGCCTTAAATAAAATAAGGTGATTACTCAAGGCACATTATAGGCACATGTGAGATTAAAAGGATCACGTGAGAAGTCAATCATTCTCACCTCAAGTAGACCTATGCCAAAAAGCCCTAAGCGAGCAGTTGCTAGGCTGATAAATCTCACTCGACGTATGCCCAATTTAAGGGGGCTTCCAAAAATAAAACCCACTTTGAGAAGACTGCGTTATAAATCTCAATGGAAATTATTCAAATTGAGTTGAACACGAGTTGTTGGGCGCAGACAGAACATAAAGATATATTCAAAACACAAAAGACAACACAAGGGACAAAAGATGTACAATGAGCAGGCGTCAAAACCTGGGAAAATCTTGTAAAACTATATGCGAAACTTTGAACTACTTTTGTGGGTTGCATTTGCATAAGAAAAGCTGTTACAGAAATAGCACTTTATGCTTTATCACTAAAGTAAATCACGTAATGATTTATTTCAATTTACATTTTTAGCTTTCTTTTTTTCTATCTTAACTCATTAATGTCCCTTACTAAAATCCTTATTCCAGCACCAACAACTAATGCCCAAGGTCCCTCAATGGCACTGTCTACGCTATTTCAAGCATGATGTCCTCATGATGCGACGCTGTCGCCATTTGCGTGTCCCGACGGCGCCGCGACTTGGGGATGTCCTTAAGCGCAAGAAGAAATAGTATGCGGCCAACAGACAATCAACGTCAATACTCAACACGACTGAGCAGCAACGAGATCAATTAAAGTTACCTTTTTTAAAGGATTTCTAAAACCAGAGACCAAAGCTAAATCAAATATATATATATATAATATAATACCAATTAATTCTACAATTTCTAAACTTTATACTAAGTCCTAACCAATTGTACTTCATAGATGTGTAAGATTTCCAAATAAAATGACTAAGAAACTCTAATGAAGCGAAAGATCAAAAGAATTTTGAGAGATAAATAAATAAAAAATAAAATTAAACTTACCGCATTTACAGCACTATGTTCTCCACGCCCAATGATCAGCGGACCATTGCTCTCCAGGGTTTCCGCGGTCACCTTTGGCTTCGTCACATGAATGCCGAATGTCGCGTGCCTCAGCAGATTCTCAGTGTCGGCGGGCTGTTTGGCAAAACTAATAGGAGCGGGTGTATCATCCGATGGACTCTGACCCGTTGGCGCCAAATAAGCAATCTCCTGCGAGTGGGTGAGCATCAGCAGCGACGACTGTGCCTGCCAGTCCACATTTATGGAGCTCTGTTTGGGCTGTCGCCGGGGCAGCCAGGCCAAGCCATAAGTCTTGGGCATATTACTGCGCTGGTACAGCGGTAGCGGAACATTCGGTTGGAAGACATGCACTAAGAAAACGAAATTAATCAATGAAATCAATAGAATATATATTTATGAGGTGATATTTACTTACACTCATCGTTTTTCGTGATGACAGCCATTAGATTGGTGAGCGGATCAAAGGCCAGCTGGCGAACGGATAGCTTCAGACCGGCCTGTAGCCGCAGAGTCAGCAGGTTCCAGATCAGGACCCTGGATTCTGTGCAAACGGCCACCAGGTGAGCCTGATCCCCGGCTCCGAATTGAACCTGTGATATATGTGCCAAACCCTGCAGTGGGGCTGCCGTGGCAGGAATTTTCTTAGGCTTCAGTTGGGTTTTGTTGTTTTCCTCCGACTGTGGCTTCTCCTTCTTCTTCGGCTTCGTGCTCTCGTCCAGCTTGAGGGTGCTGAACAAAGCCGTCACTTCCTGCGGCACCAGATCTTCAAAGTTCCGTCGACGCTGGGCCAAATGATCGATTCGATACTTGGCTTTGTAGCGATGCCGCGTATGCAGGCGATGCAATCTGGCGTCCAGCTTGAGCAACTTCATTCGCGCCGCCTGTGGCAAGATTGCCTTCTGTTGCAGGAGCTCCATCAAGCGATTCCTGTGAGCCAAGGGCACAGAGCATTCAATACCAAAGCGTCGCAGCAATTGCAATTTCTGGTGCAGATCAAGCTCTGGCATTTTCATGATGTACTTGAATACAGACTCCTTTTTGGCATTATCCGGTTGATTGAGAAGCTTGCCCTTGACAGGTGGCCCCACTATCAAGGCCTTGGCCTGTTCCACCAATTCCTCGTCATTGCTTTGGATGAGACTCTGTAGGAGTCCGCACAACTGCTGCCTCTGTTGGGTGAGTTCTTTTCTGGCTCCATTTAGGGGAGTCTGTGCCAACCTAAGCTGAGCTTTGGATATTACACCATCCAAGCCGGGCGGACAGCTGAGCGTTTGCAGCGGCAATCGGGGATTCCTGGCATCGTACAGAGCTAAAATGTTGCCATAGCCCACGGCTAAGAGGGAGCCATCCTGCGAGAAGCAGAGCGAACCTATAGACAGATTCCTGTAGCTTAATTGGGCCAGGCAACACCACATTTTGCCACGCTTGTAGATGTTTTCGGAGTCGGTAATGCCCCAGATTTTGATCACATTATCCTCGCCAGCGGAGGCACAACGCAAGTTGCTCACCTGGAACTGACTGGAGAAGCTGATGGTCTTGAAGCCATGATCATGCGGCAGATCAATGTCTGTGTTTAGGATGTAGCTGGAATTATATAGATTTTTTAAAGGTTTTTATTATATTATAAATATTTTTAAACTAAGTATTCTTTGATAAATTTATCAAACGATTTAAGGCCACTTTCCTGTTTGAAAACTAATTTTTATAACGAAAATCTTTCTTTTTCTTTAAGCCAAAATGACTCGTCACGCTCGCAACTGCACTGCCGGAGCTGTGTACACCTACAACGAAAAGAAGCGGGACTCAGCCAAGTCTGGCTATGGAACCAATGCCAAGCGGCTGGACAAGGACTCCATCAAGTCCTTTGACTGCTGCTCCCTCACCCTGCAGCCCTGCCGCAAGCCTGTCATCACCAAACAGGGCTACCTTTTCGACAAGGAGGCCATTCTGGAGTACATAGTCACCAAGAAGAACGAGTATAGCCGCCAGCTGAAGGCATACGAGCGTGTGCGTCGTCTAGAGGAAGATCAGCTGAAGCACAAAGCTCAAACCCAACATCAGGCGCGCTTGGAAAGCTTTGTGAATGCACAAAAACCAGTGGACAGACCTTCTGAAAACACTTCAGCTTCACTTTCCACTTCCTCTTCCATTTCCAACATAAACAACAGTCGCCTGCCCAGCTTTTGGCTTCCCTCGGAATGTCCTAATGCTGGCTTGGCCAAGGTCAAGAAGCCAGATCCCCTCATATACTGTCCTGTTTCGCAACAACCATTGAGGGTCAAGGATCTGATTGAGGTGAAGTTTACGCCGATAAAGGAGGACGGCAAAGGCCAACGCTCGCTGATCACCAAGGAGGCACGCTACATGTGTCCCATTACCCATGATGTCCTAAGCAATTCCGTGCCCTGTGCTGTGCTGCGTACCACCGGCGATGTGGTGACCATGGAGTGCGTGGAGCGGTTGATTAAGAAGGACATGATCCATCCCCTAACTAATGACAAGCTCAAGGACAAGGACATTATTCCCCTGCAGCGTGGCGGCACTGGCTTTGCCAGCACCAACGACAGCCTGCAGGCCAAGGAAAAGAGACCAACATTGCAGGTCTAAGATTTTCTAAGATCCAATCTAAATGGTTTTTAAAGCAAACTAATTCCTTATTCTGCTAAATATATAATTTAAAATCGACTCTCACCTTTGCAGCTTCTCATTGTATTGCCAAAACTTGAGCCTTACTTCGGCAAAGTTCTCCAAATCGTTGTAAACCTCGCCGGTGGCCATCCAATTTATGTTAAAGGCCGCTCGGGTTATACGCGTATTGTAGATGATGCGATTCGCCTCCTCGCTATGTACATTAGTGTCCACCACGCGTAGCTGGAAAATAATTAAAATAGTTTATTTCCCATAGTTCTCACATTTCCCTACACATTACTCACGTTATAAAGCATACTCTTGGTGTAGGCTGAGTAGAACTGCAAGTGTCCTGATCTGCCATTGAGCACCAGCGTATTGGTCCTGGGATTCAGACACAAACCCATGGGGAACTTGCTCCTGCCAGTCTTATCCTTGACCTCATATGTGAAATGCTGGACGGTTGACTTGATCGCATTATTGCTGCCACTCAGCAGCTGTATGGCATTATCCTCGGTGCACACAAGGACATTCTCATTGTCATTGCTCACTACTATATGCCGGATTACACTAGCCATTCCGGGCAGATACTTGCGTTCCTCGGGCATGGCCACGGACCACTTGACCAGCACCCGTTCATGGCCACCGCTGTAGATGCTAACGCCCGAGGGCGAGAAGGCCAAGCTGGTCACCTCGTCATGATGCCAATGGAGCAGGGTGTTGGTCATTGTCTCACGCTTTTCAAAGTCCCGCCAGATAAAGATCTGACCCTCAGCGTCAGCAGTGGCGGCCACCATCTCGCAGGGACTCATTCGGACACAGGTGATCAAGTGCTGCTTGGCGCTCTTGAAACGGCAGAATTTCCAGTTCACATAGTTCAAGAAGTAAATGTAGAAGCCTTGGGCTAGGATTATATACTTGTACTGACCCTTTCCCACGTCCACAAGGGGGGTGCGAACTCTGTGGAGAAGGATTATTGAGTTGTAGGGGTTATTTCATACATTTTAAAGGATTTTAAATGATAAAATTCAAAGACTCACTTTAACTTTAGGCCGCAATTCACTTCAATCCTATCGCCCGTACTCGTATTGACCACAAACCAGTTGACTTGGTCGCCACTCCTCTTCTTTGTTGTTACAAAAGCACAGGCTGTGTCGCCACCTTTGTACAGATTCATCAGGTGGCAGGTGAGGACATTGGCCTCTGGCACGCCCAGCTTCAGGGATACTGTCTTCTTGAGCACGCCAGCTCGCCAATTCCATCGCAGCACCTCGCCAGTGCTAGTACAGCCCAGCAGGAGCTCTGGCTGCTTTAGATCCAGCTCCAAACTGATCAAAGGAGCCTTGGCATCGTCGAGAACCCTTGTGAGTTCACCCGTACTGGTGGCGTACACCTGCACCTTTGTCAGGCATCGCACAAACATGAACCTGTAGATCGGGAAATGTAGTTTTAAAGAAATAATTATACATTAATTCCTGGCGGAGCCACTAACCTTCCATCGGGCGAAAAGAGTGGCGCATGTTCCACGATGTTGCCGCCTGCCAGGTACTGCAGCTCCAACCGGTCCTCGTCGTCAAAGTTCATGGCTCTCCGTTGGTTAGTCCTACTCTCTAAGGATCCTCAGTGCTGCGGCACTGTCTACGGAGGGCAATTTCACTAAATTAATGCTATTTAAGCTATTTTTGTGGACGATTTCCCAGTAAAATTCAACAATGCACGTGTAGCCCAGTGTGACCGGTCAGTGAGCGCCAAGAATATACCAAAAAGTAAATATACCGAAGAGCTGAAGAGCTGAAATAAATTAATAAATTGTTAAAAGTAATATTAATGGTATTAGGTTTTAATTAAAAGACGTAATAAATACAATTCTTTAATTTCCTTAATTAATTCATCAATTGATCTCAGAAACGAGTTAAAAGAAAATGTAAACATAATAAATGGGTTCGGAAAAATACCACTGGTTCTCTGGTTCACGGTGACTGGTTCCGTTTCGTCGCAATTTATTTATTTATTTTTTTATCAACATTTTAAAATATATAATAATAATATTTTAACATTAACATTATTTGAAAAATTAATATTAAAAAAAAAATAAATGTATTTAAAAAACAAAAGTGAAAAAACATCGATACTATCGATTGTGCCCCCAAGTCTTGCCAGCACTATACATGCTGGACCAGTATAGAAATATATTAATAAATTTGTTAATGGCTCAATTCCGGCTCGCAGAGTGCTCCGATTAGCAATTCAGCTAGCTGGGCAAAATAACTTGGCCAGGAAAAATCAGAAAAACATAAGCCGACAACCGGTCACCGAGGAAAACCCAGAAAAATGCGAAGAAAACTTCAAGGAACAAGAACAACAAAAACAACTGCTAACATGTGCAACGTTGCATGGAAAAAGGGGAGTTTCGCGGACCACTTGCTGGCAAGTTGGCTATGCCTATTCCTGGCCGCCCTTGTTCTCATCTCCTGCAGCACCTGCACCTTTGCCGCTGATCCCCTCAAGGTCATTTACGCCGTCAATGCCGGCGGAGAGGAGCACACGGACCGGAATGGCATTCAATACGACGCTGATCCTTTGAAGGGCATTGGCATCGCTTCGGACTATGGCAAGCACCTGCTGATGATCGGACGGGTGCAGGAGCAGGACGAGGTGCTGTACAGGACGGAGCGCTACCACACCACCACCTTTGGCTATGACTTGCCGAGTGACGGCGACGGGGATTACGCTTTGATCATGAAGTTTTGCGAGGTGTACTTCGATGCACCGCAGAAGAAGGTCTTCGATGTGCTGCTCAACCGGAAGCACACGGTGGTCCGGCAGCTGGACATCTACGACCAGGTTGGACGGGGCTCCGCCCACGACGAGATCGTGTACTTCAAGATCAACAACGGCCGGCTGAACTACGAGGGCGAGGTTTCCGACGTACGAAATGGTCGCCTGCGGCTGGACTTCATCAAAGGTGCTCTGGATAATCCCAAGATTAATGCCTTTGCTTTGCTGAAGGGCGACGTGTCCCAAGTGCCGCGTCTGCACGGCACCGAGGCGAGTGAAAGGATGAAGCCGGAGCTGGGAAACAGCAACAGCAAGCAGATTGTGGATCAGAAGCAGCCAGGACACCAGCCGGAGCGGGTGGTGCGCGCGCAGAGGGATGATGTGGATGAGGACGACGAGGATCTGGATGATGAGGAGTTCGGCGAGGAACTGCCCGACCAGTTGAGAGACAGTGGCGAGCACAATGATAACTCGCAATCGCAACCGACGGACTCTAAGAAATCTTACAGTGGACCCCGTCAGCCAAATCCTTACTCCATGGACGACTCTTCCATATTGCTGCCTGTGTTCATAGCCATCGGAGCCTTCATTCCGCTGCTATTCTGCCTCTGCAAGCTGTGATTCCCATCCGTAACCCGATCTCGGCCTGCCAGTTCATTTCCTGCTGCTTTTTGTGATTTTTGATAAAAGACTTAATTGTAATTACTTATCGTTTAGTTCGTACGTTAGCCACTTGCCCCAGAGACCGTATCGGATTCCCCCGATTCCGATTTCGATTCCGATCCCCTTGGCGCACAGCTCGCTCTCTATCGCTCTTAACACTCTACACTTTCCGTACTTTGTAAGCTTTTTGAGTTCCTTTTGCGTTGACCACTGCCGTCACAGGCTCGGGTACTTAATCCTGTTGAGTCACTTGATTTATATAAATAATCCTAGGACTAGTTCTAGCTCTAGATTGCTTGGTGGGATGTGCGCACAAATTTTAGGCGGGTTTTTGGCGACAGTTTTATTTGGAAACTGTCTTAAATGAATATGGAATGAAATAAAATCAACCTTGTTTGTTATTGAAGAAATTGTTTTTCGTTATTTATGGAGGGTTTCTTAATATTTTTAATATAAACATGTATTTTTATAATAGCGAAGGACTTGATAAAATATAATGAAGAAAATAACAATCTTTTTTTGTAATTTACTTTATTTTTACAACTTCCTTCCTAAAATAATTTTCTGAGAATATACAATATTTTTTATTTTTATTTTTTAAGCGCTTACTTTCTTAAATATTTAAGAAACTTCACAAATAAATTACGTTCTCCTGAATTTGTGACGTCACAACTCCACAGACTGGTTCATCCTGTGAACCAATAGGCGATATATGGTGAATCCTGACTATCGATAGTATCATCGATGACTTGGTAACCTGCGGGAGGACTTTTCTTGAAGCTGGGGAAAACGAGGAAAAACGGCAAGGAAAATCGGTCGCGACGGAAAATTCAGTCATCAGCGTGTGTCCATCGAATCGGCAGTGAAAATGTGCCAGCGGCGGCGGTTCGACTTCTTCTACGCCAGCAAGTACACCAGTTTTAGTTTCCACAGGAATCACATCAAGTTGTTTGCCGTGTACATGAAAACGGCAAATCTGATGCAAAACTTCAACGTCCTCAAGCGTTCGCTGTAAGCAGCCCGCCGCCGCCTCCTACTCCTCCCCCGCAAAAAATTAATATAGCAAGCAAATTAAATTAAAGTCACCGACCGGGCTGTGTGTGTGTGTGTGCGTGCGCGAGTGTGTGTTTGTTAGTGTATTTATTGCTAATTTAGTGCTATTAATAAAAAGAAACGAAAAGGATGTAAAATGTCTGAGCGAAAAAACCGTAAAGCCTGTGCAAAATCCTTGCTAAATTAGCCGCCTTAAGAGCTAGAAATAAATCGAAATCTAAATTCAATTTAGGCGTGTCTGCAAGAAATAACGGTGAGTTGGAGTCCCGACAACTTTCTTACATAATAATTAAGTGGCGGCGGCCTTTGATTGATAACGGTATTGCATAATATGGCAGCCACAAGTTCGGTATTAATGTTTACCGACTTTCCGTCTGTCCTTCCATCAAAATTTGACTTTGCCAAAAGCCATAAATCCAGTGGGGGCGACGAAAAAAAACAACTCTGTCATCAGGTGCAGGGGATAAAAAAGGGATGGCTCTCACAGGCTCTCTCGCGCTCTGTCTCTCCCCCATTTACCGTTACTCGCTCTCCCACGCCAACCAAACAGATGTTTTGCCCGCTCTCCTGTGCGCATGGATGTAACGGTGCCTACGCTAAACAAAAACAAATTGTCCGTTTGCCGACGCTTTACGTCATAAACACTGCAGTTCCTTACAACAACAAAAAAAATTATAACTTCGCTGCAACGCTGAAAAGCAGGCTACGTTTTTGTGTGACTGCGCTTATGTGTGCGTGAGTGGGTGTTTTTTATGTAATGCAAAAAGAGCCGCAGGCCTTGCGTTTGTTATTGTTACATGTGCTTTTGATGCTACAAATGATTGTGTTCTGTCATGTGGACAATGACATCTATAGCCAAAATACGTATTTTCAGCTTAGTGTGCTCTTGAAATCTGGGCGACCTTCGGTGTTATGAACTTGAGCGATAAGAGTCGCTCGCGGCCATTCGAATTTTAAGCCGTAAACTGAATGATTAGATAATGAATATAGAGTCTAAATAGTAAATTATTATAAATAGTTGGTTTGTGTTTATAAATTATAATAATTATCAGCTGAATTTGAGCTAAAATTTATTAAATGTATCTCTTTATGGATTATTTGGATTCATTTTGATAAATACTATTTAAATGTAACGAAAATGAAATGACTTTGGCCAAAAAATGTATTATTAAATCTCGTTTATTGGTAATTTTTTTTTTTAAATATGAATAATACTTTTATAAATTTGTTACATATATATGTCATTTAAATTTAAGCTTTAATCTTCTTTAAATATAAACATAAAGGTGTTACAACAACTACAATGCGGCTTTAAACCTATTTAAAGGGTCTTTAAAAATATCATTAATATTTTCGAGGTACCAAATCAAGTGTAAATGGGATTTTCTAAAATGTAAACTTTTGTTTTAACACATTTTAAAGGGATTCAAAAGCTCTAATGATATCTAGTCTAGGTTTTATTAAAATAATCCTTAAAATTCTAAATGTTTTTAAAATAAAGTTATACAAATGTCAAAGCAAGAGAATAACTTTCCTTGCGTAAGAAAAATGTTTTTAGACAGATGGTCGAAAATTGAGTATTTATTTGTTAGGAAAACGAACAACCAAAAAACAAATGAAAATATATAATTTATGTAAAAACACAGCAATAAGTGCACTTAAGTGTCGTGTCCGCAGCAAATAGATTCTAGTGTAGTCAGTACTAGTTTCGTATTATTAGTTTTATTTTTTGGCTCCGGTTGCGCGTGGCACTGCGGCAAAGCCATAACCATTGTCTGGTCGTCACGCCCCGAAAAAAATAGTGAAAAAAACTAGAGTTGCTTTCGCCCCTGATTTACTGTGCTGCGTGTCCTTCGCCCATGGTCATTGCAAATGTGTACGATGGCATAAAATTGTTGTATCCCATTTCCCAGGGCCCTCGTCCCCCAGCCATCCATCTATTTGTCTGATGATGGAGATGGAGGAGCTGTCTGATTTGTTCTGCCTCTGTTCTGTGTTTGCTATTTTCGGTTCCGCAGCGGCATGTCCTGTGGCGTGTCCTTGGGCAAAGCCCGGGGCTTACATAATAGTCGGCGACGACGGTGGGCGGTGCTCACAGGGCGTTATTATTATTATTGCGATGTTTTTCAGCTGAAAGTTTAAGCCGCCGCTGAACACACAAACACACACGCACTTAACATTCCAGTCTAATGAACCTGAAGAGGAGCAGCATGGACTACGTCGTCTATAGCTACTGCTCTTCAGAGCTCTTCAGTTGGGAACTTTTCCGAAAAGTTTGGCGGTTTTCAGTTTGCGGGCTTTTGTTTTGTTTGCGAATGGCTTTTGCGGATTGCCTTTATGCGTTATCAAAGCCTAAGCCATTACCATTGTTTTCGTTTAAAGTTTAAAATTGGTTTCTTTTGGATATATAAAATTCCTTAAGCACTGAGGTTTTTATTTTTGACATTAAGTCTTTATATACCAGTTTTTACTTAAGTTTTCAATTAACTGATTAAATATTATGATACAAGAAATTAATATCTGCACTAATAAAGCTTTAAATACTGATTAGTGATTTTCACCCTTTTCTAGACTCAATTCGTTTTTAATTTGGAAATTATACATTTAAGTCGCAGTAACCACTTATTATTGGAAGGCATAACAAGTAATTTCAATTATTTATCAGCCAAGAAATTCAATTTCTACCATAAAACCAAATGTTCTCATTATTAACACAGCTTCCTACCCAATTATATGCCACAAAAGCTAATCTAATCGGAATTATTTTGCCATTGTCAGCTCTGAAAATCATTAGAAAGTTGTTGTATACACTGGGAGGACCAAATATAATTTTTATGAATTGATTTAAATCAGATTTATTTATGGTGAATAAAGTTTATAACTATCTTGAATTTAGATTCAATGAACAACCTTTTTTTGAAACTGGTTCTAAGTATTATTATAAATCCTTTTCCTCCCTGTAGTTTTAGTGTACAAAAAAATCATCTCTTTACCATTCATAAAATCGTCGTTAGGGGCATCCAATCAAGGCGGACAACGACGACGACGCAGTTTCGCAAAATGAACCCCCAGCGAATTGTCCTCAGGATTCAATTACGTGCACTTAGCTGCAGTCGTTCAAGTACAAGGATAATGTGTACACTATATATACTTTGTCTCGTGATAGACAAAAGGATAAGAGCGAGAGCTGCACCCACGCCATCAGCTGCCAACTTTGGATCGATATTATGGAAATGCCACACGATATTGAAATGTTTGCACTGAAAGTGCTTGCTTCGTTGCCCTTTGCAATTATCAAGGAATTACAAACGTGTCGTTAGCCTTGCTCACACAGAGAAAACCCAGCCAAGTGAGCCTTGTTATGCCAACCAGGGAAAAAATCAATTTCCATTGCGGAAAACTCGATTTTCCTGGCCACTGCCGTCGCTTGCGGTTGCCTTCATTGTCCAGCTGCCTCAATTATTCATTTCAATTAACTATACAAGACTGGACACAAAATGCAAAGGAAATTGCCAAACGATATCGTTCGAATTTGAGCATGTCCTTAATTGGCGGCCTTTATAAGGTCGGCGATGGGCCCCTGGGGGTATGCAATAGTTTTTGCAAAAGGCTTAAGGAACTTGATATTCTTCATTTGTCGTTTTTGGTAGAAAATATTATTTCTATGACTTCTTAACTAATTTTATAATAACACATTTAATGTAGAAAATAATAATTTCAATAGAATTTTAAAATTGAATAACTATAACGATTAATGTTTCTTCTAAAACAACTGTCTTTAAGTTTTTCGTTATCCGTGGCATGAGTCTGAGCTTTTATTCATATTTTTTAAAGTAAGATTTATACATCTTATTAATACGGCTTTTTTCTTTGGCCAAAAATAAACTTAAAAATGTTTATTTACTTTATTATTAATTTTTGTATTTTAATGACCACAAAAATACAAACTATTTTGTAAGCCAAAACAGTTGCCAAATATTTTCGTTCACATTCTTTTCTAGCCATTTGGTTTTATGTGCATTTTCTCCCCTCCTTTGCCGCCTCTCTTCCACACTTTCCTCGGCATGTTTTCCTCACACTCGTTTTTTAACAGCTGTTAGGGCTGTGTGGGTGCCGCATTGTCTGCCGGTTAACATACCCACGCTCTGTAGGCTCTCTGTTAGCTGGAACCTCTGCAATCGGCGCCGATTTCGATTTCTCGTTCGGTTCAAAATATATTCCCCCGATTCTCGCATTCAGTTCTCGGCCGCAGCGCGCAGCATTATACTTTTTGCGTCGGTCGCGGAAAATCGAGTTTTCCTATCTATTTGGAAATTATTCCGACTATTAAAAATTTGAGTAAATGTAAATGGA